GTCCGATCTTCTGACAGCGATGGCATCTTGTAGATCACTTGTGGCTTGTAGAGAAAGAGTTCTCGCTCTCGAAATAACAGAGGTCCATTGGTTCGGGACCTCCGGTTTCATGTCGTCTTGTTGGATGATAGTTAGATAAGTTAGCCGGAGACTGTCTCAGGCTTTAGTCTTCTTGTTCCGCATACGCTATCGCCTTTTCCAGTGTATGGAAGTCCTCTTGGAACATGTAGGTCTTCACCGGCCCATCTACAAGGCCGTAGATGAAAACGTTAATCAGCGTGTGCTCATTAACAGGGTATTCCGTGACGCTACTCGCAAGGTAGCGTAGGTGTTGTGCATAGGCGTGCACATCACGCTTATCTTTCTTGAGCCTTAGGAGTGCAGAGCGTGCTCTGAACTCGGCTCTTGGCGGCTCGAACGTCTCTTTGAGCCGAGACTTTAAGGTCTTGAAGGACTCAAACACGTTTGGGTCATGAAGCTTGAGTCCTAAGGCTTAAGTCTTTGCTCGTCCTGTAAATTTGACAGGGCGAAGGTGACTCACATCTCGTCACCCTCGATGTGACGGGCCCTGATGGCGCCGTCTAACTCGACGAACCATCTCAAAAGGGAATCTTCATCAGTTCCCTTGTACCTTGAGATGTCTATTTATAAGGTTTCGGGTCGACGCGTGTGCGTTGGCCCACCCGTCTACTGATCAGAGCCATGATGCTGTAGCAAGGCTATCTTCTGTCTTTCGACGGCAATTTACCCTTGTAGGAACTTGTTGATAGCAGCATGTTGCTAGTCTATGCTTAGAGACTCCAACATGCCACTGATGGCGGGTTCGCCCATGAGCACACTCATGCGGCCGACTATCTCCCATTCTGAGCCACTCAGATGGAAGTGGCCTTCATGTGTGACGTGAAAGCTGTCGTCTTCTGCGTCCAACATGTTCATGTTGGACGGATACTAAGTAGTCGTTGAACGGACTACGAAGTGCTACCAGGTTTAACGGGGCACCCTTTGTTTGGGGTCCCGCGAAACTTCACGTACACTAGTACGTGCAGAGGAAGCTAATCTACTCAACAGCTATGTTATGTAAAGAGTAAAAAGAGAACTGTATTCAATATAGTTAAGCTATCAATATAACTTCAGCCTTCATCCAACTACATTAAACTACGTCGTCGAATGACGACAACCTGCTCACCACTCATTGCGCGCGTCTAGCAGAGATTGGTCGTAACCTTGGTTGATATGTCTTAGATCAACCAATCTATGAGCAGCGCATGAATATTATCCAAAAGGGGACAATATTCCTTCAATACTATCCACCTCGGATAATATTGGTAGGATATTGTCACACTAGATAATCTTCCTATTGACACGTTTGGTCTCAAAAATTTCATGTAACGGCCTACCCTGTTTAAGCATGCAGGAACGAACCATACTCGTTCTTGTATCCGTGCAAGCTAGCGATGCAAGTTGCTCAGTATGCGCCACAACCGCACCTGTGTGTGTATTATCTGGGTTAGTAGATGTCCCTTAGTTACTTAGGATAGCCCAGATGCATGTCTGCTTGCTTTGAGCGCGAGTAAGGGTGCAAGCGTCTACACTTCCAGTGTCCTCCCTATAGTGGTATATAAGCTCCTACCTGCAGGCCTGCACTTACGGGTACGTTCTGACAATGTACCTCATTGCCTCCCTTGCGTCACGGCAGCACTGTGGCTTTCGACATTTCTTCACTGGATGAACTATAAGTTTAGTTGCTGCCCTCCCACTTGTGCTATGATGAGCCCCGTCGTCCGGAAGACTTACACCTGGTACTTCGTGAATTTGTTGGCGTACCCCGATTGGAGCTTTATGCGTTTACCGGATTGAGCCGAGAAGCAAGAGTTTGAGGCGTTTGCCATAGCAAACATCCTCGACTAGCAGTCTCCCTCTTGTGTGGATGTCAAAAAAAACAAGCAGTCATTTGTAGTTGTGGGTCTGTCATAATAGTAGTTCTGATTATGCCTTACAGCGTACAGCATTTTCCATTAGTCAACTATGGTTGTTACTTTGCTTAAATTTGAATGTACATTAACGTCTGTCGAATTAGTCAAAACTAGAAGCAAAGGTGTGCGCAACACCCACACGGCATAACATAGGCTTGACATATAGAGTGCACGGTGTACTACGCAAGCAGTACGGACCCACTGTGACACATAGGCTGTATTCGCAAATAGATTCTCATGACATTGCATAGCGAATCTAGCAAACTGCAATCCACAAATTTAATTGCGTGCCTCTTGTAATTACTTAGCAGCCTTGTTATAGCCACACCACAAAGAATTAATTTACTTGTTGACCTTGCCATTAGTTCTTGTGATGAAGCTCTTTACCAGCACTAAACATCTCATTACAGCGGATAGTGCAGTATCGAGCTCTTGTGTCACAAGAAAGTTCGAATTAGCTTAGGCGTTATTAAATGGTTTAGCTTACGTCTAATATTGCGTCTTGTGAGTCTCAAGGTGCTATACTACCTTGCTTGCTGCATGTGACACGTACCTACAGGAAGCGCCACAATGCTTGCTCTCTTTTTTCGTATTAGTACTGTAAAGGGGTTGCTTGTTACATGATATAGACACCAAACGGTGTCAATAGGAAGATTATCTAGTGTGACAATATCCTACCAATATTATCCGAGGTGGATAGTACTGAAGGAATATTGTCCCCTTTTGGATAATATTCTTGCGCTGCTCATAGATTGGTTGATCTAAGACATATCAACCAAGGTTATGACCAATCGCTGATGGACGCGCGCAGTGAGTGGTGAGCAGGTTGTCGTCATACGACGACGTAGTTCAATATATTTAGATAAAGACTGAAGTTATATTGATAGCTTAACTATATTGAATACAGTTCTCTTTTTACTCTTTACATAACATAGCTGTTGAGTAGATTAGCTTCCTCTGCACGTACTAGTGTACGTGAAGTTTCGCGGGACCCCGAACAAAGGGTGCCCCGTTAAACCTGGTAGCACTTCGTAGTCCGTTCAACGACTACTTAGTATCCGTCCAACATGAACATGTTGGACGCAGAAGACGACAGCTTTCACGTCACACATGAAGGCCACTTCCATCTGAGTGGCTCAGAATGGGAGATAGTCGGCCGCATGAGTGTGCTCATGGGCGAACCCGCCATCAGTGGCATGTTGGAGTCTCTAAGCATAGACTAGCAACATGCTGCTATCAACAAGTTCCTACAAGGGTAAATTGCCGTCGAAAGACAGAAGATAGCCTTGCTACAGCATCATGGCTCTGATCAGTAGACGGGTGGGCCAACGCACACGCGTCGACCCGAAACCTTATAAATAGACATCTCAAGGTACAAGGGAACTGATGAAGATTCCCTTTTGAGATGGTTCGTCGAGTTAGACGGCGCCATCAGGGCCCGTCACATCGAGGGTGACGAGATGTGAGTCACCTTCGCCCTGTCAAATTTACAGGACGAGCAAAGACTTAAGCCTTAGGACTCAAGCTTCATGACCCAAACGTGTTTGAGTCCTTCAAGACCTTAAAGTCTCGGCTCAAAGAGACGTTCGAGCCGCCAAGAGCCGAGTTCAGAGCACGCTCTGCACTCCTAAGGCTCAAGAAAGATAAGCGTGATGTGCACGCCTATGCACAACACCTACGCTACCTTGCGAGTAGCGTCACGGAATACCCTGTTAATGAGCACACGCTGATTAACGTTTTCATCTACGGCCTTGTAGATGGGCCGGTGAAGACCTACATGTTCCAAGAGGACTTCCATACACTGGAAAAGGCGATAGCGTATGCGGAACAAGAAGACTAAAGCCTGAGACAGTCTCCGGCTAACTTATCTAACTATCATCCAACAAGACGACATGAAACCGGAGGTCCCGAACCAATGGACCTCTGTTATTTCGAGAGCGAGAACTCTTTCTCTACAAGCCACAAGTGATCTACAAGATGCCATCGCTGTCAGAAGATCGGACACTACGCTCATGAGTGTAGTGTCCCAAGCACCGCATCACGTTCAAAGACATGGCGTGATGGCCGCCGTTGGCCAAGGAAGGGTCCAAGAAGTGGGTCCGATCATGTTGCTAAGCCGCAACAGCAAGTCGGACCGTAAGAAAAACGGACAGGGCCAGTAGGGGGCACCCTGTTGATCCAGCAACGTCAAGAGAATTTGCAGGACTCTTAACGACGATTACTCTTAACGCACAGTCTCTGTGTGTTTTTGCCCCTAGTGATGAGGTGTCTCCCATCACTTTAAAGATCTAAGTGATAAGTAGAATGTCACTTGGCGCCCTTGTTGACTGTGGGTCGTCGAACAGTTTCATTCGACGCCAGTCGCTAAGGGATAGTAGACTCAACTATGTTGAGCGACAGTTTCCTCCAACGAGGATGACGGTGTGCCTTGCTACATGCGCATCCGTAACAGTGAAAAACGTGTAGTGGGAATCCACTATTCGCTAGAAGGAAAGCAGTACGATGATGACTTCATCGTACTAGATTTGGATGACAAATTTGATGTCATCCTCGGTCTGCCATGACTTAGAAAATATACCAGCCATGGGTCAGTTGGCAGCAACGATCCGTGAAGATGCCTGCCGTTTGTTCATCGTATGACCATCTGATGAACATCTTGGAGCTTCCACGAGAGTATGGATGTACTACGAGTGAGTGCGATGGCCTCAATTGTGGTACGGTCGTTATTACGACTGCACAAGATCACAGTGTAGAAGGCCACTGCACTGTGGAACTAGCTTCCTGCACCTGTGTAGAGACACAGGCTGCGCCGAAGGTTCACCACTCGAAGAGACCGAGTGAGCTGGAACACCGATGCACACACCAAGAAGGGTGCATCCGAGAAGAGAGATTAGTGTTGTTTAGGATGAACACGCTGAAGCGAGATCGACTATCAGAGAGTCGGTCGTAGAGCAAGCCCAATCGACTGAAAGAGAGTCGATCGAAGAGGAAGTTAACGTGGTAGTACATCCACTTTCAGTACACGTAATGGAAGAAAGTTCCAGCGTCCCTGAGATTGATAACTCCCGAGAGAGTTATGTTGAGGGTGTGGATCCCCAACCACCTGCGGATGTGTTTTTCCAGGAAATCACCGAGACAATGAATGTCTTGGTGAATGACGGATCAAGTGTAGGCGCTTATACACTTGATCTGGTTACACCTACGAAGTTAGCTTCGGAGGTAATCAAGTTTTCAACGCTAGGATCTAAAAGATTCCTGCGAGATCTGCGTAGTGATAAGATCAAGCAGATCTGCGTGCTCGTCACAGAGGACGAGTACGTCGCCGATATTCGGTCGGCACAAGTGTTTGCTGAGAACGAACAGGTTCTCAGTAGCTTATCGATGGACGAGTGTGTCTTCTATGAGAAGAATTGGGCTGAGCGATACACGTCTTAATCGTGGGAGTCTTTGAAGACAAATCCTTTGTTTAAGGATTTGGTCGAATTCAGGGATGTTTTCCCTGAATCCGTGCCATGCGAGCTGCCCAAGGACAAAGGCACTCGGCATGAGATCAAACTGAAACCTGGTTCAAAATACTGTGTCATGAAGCAGTGGCCACTGCCTCGTGAACAGGTCACAACGATCGACGAATTCTTGGCCGACAGCTTAGCGGCTGGTCATGTGAGGGAAACAACATCCCCACACAGCTCTCCGACCTTCTGTGTGCGAAAGGCCACAGGAGGGTGGCAGATAGCACACGCACTCAACAAATTGAACGCTGCAACGGTACCGGCTCAAACGCCGATCCCAAGGAAGGATGTCATCATAGATGATTTGGCAAAGAGTACCATCTGTTTATCCATGGATGTGATGGGTGGATTCTATCCGACCCTCATGAGTGACCGGGACGTCCTGTACACAACGGTGAGCACCCACAGTGGTATGCTCTGGGAGTGGCTAGTGATGCCACATGGGCTAAGTAACACCCCTGCAACGTTCAGCATATGTGTTACGAACCTGTTGCGATCGGTGCGCGACTTCGCACCGAGTTGCTTCGACGATGTCTTCGTCCATAGCCGGGCTATGATGAAAAGACAGACGTGGAGGTTCATCAAATCCACGTCCGGAAGGTTCTTAAACTTATGCGAGAGCATAAGTTGTTCGCGAACCTCAAGAAGTGTATGTACGCAGCGAACGATACTACTTCTTAGTTGCATCGTGGAAAAAAACGGCGCACGCCCTGATCCGGAAAAGATCAAGGCGATTAGCGAATGGCCCGTGCCAGTCGACGTCAAGGGACTTCGAAAGTTCCTTGGCTTAGCGGCGTACTTGCACAAGTACTCGCGCAACTATGCCCGAGATGACCGTACATCTCTCTCTCATCTGTTAAAAAACGAGCGGCGGTCATGGAGTTCTGAGTGTCAGCACTCCTTTGAATTAATCAAGAAAAGCTCGATACAATCGCCTGTGTCGGCGGTTGCAAACCAAGACAGACCATTTCTGTGGCTCCAGAAATTTGGCAATCGGCTGCGCATCAATGCATAACGATGCAGATGGCGCAAAGCGCGTCGTCGACTTTGAGTCGCGTCAGCTGCAATGAGAGCGTAAATAATCAGTGCATGACTAGGAACGCCTTGCCATGAAGTACGCAGTGGCTAAGTTTCGGATATATCTCTTAGGAGATATGCTCTTTATCGTTTATACCGACCATGCGTCGTTAAGCACGGCCGTAAACAGTCCACACCTCTCTCCACGAATGGCGCGGTGGTTGCAATTCTTCGCGTAGTTTAACTTCTCCGTCGAGTATAAACTAGGACGAATTTATGTAGTCGCTGATGCTCTTTCGCGTCGGCCCGATTTGAGTTGACTGCTCAATCCAACAGTATAGATGATCCCACTGTAGCAACACTAACAGTGAGTGTTCCGTTGTCGAATCTGCTCGACGACGTGCGAAAAGCTTACGCAGAAGATGAGTCTCTTGAACGATTGATTGATTACGATTCCAATCCGTGCAGTGAAGCTTTGAAAAGCTTGTTGTCTCAATACCGATCTTCAACCGAACGGTATTCTGTTCGTGATGGACTGCTGTACTATACAGTAGTCAACGGCAACACACCTCGTGTCGTCGTTCCCTTTTATAGGAATTTGCGATTGCGCATCATGTGTGAGTGTCACGATGCCCCGAAAAGTGGGCATCGCGGTAGGGAAAAGACTTACCTCACGGTGAGTCGTGACTACTATTGGCCCCGCCGGTATGAGTTTTTGTGCAAATACATTCGCGCTTGCGAAGTTTTTCAACGGGTGAAGCCTAGTCCTTCATCCTGCGCACCCTTTCAGCCTCTTCTGATTCCGGCAGAGTGTTGGCAGTCGGTATCGATGGACTTCGTCTTTGGGTTTCCCAAAGACGCTCAGAAGATAACTGGTATTCTTGTGTTTGTTGATCGGTTCAGCAAGATGGTACATCTTGTTGATGTACCGGCGTCAAATCAAAGCTCAGGGCTGTAATCGTGTCTTTATCGATACTATATTTCAACTTTATGGGTTACCCCATGAACTCGTGTCTAATAGGGACCCCGCTTCACAGCGGAATTCTTTCAATCCGTGTTCCGTTCGCTTGGAACACGTTCGACGATGTCAACATGTGACCACCCAGAAACAGATAGTCAGACGGAACGCGTTAACCGCGTCCTCGAAGAAATCCTTCGAGGGTATGCCCACTCGTTTACGAGTTGGAGTGAATTCTTGCCGATGGCGGAATTCGCCATCAACAACTCGGTGCATGCTTCAACAACGCAGACACCTTTCTTCGTTAATGGCCTACGTCATCCATGCTTACCCGCCTTATTAGAGTGTGACTCTAGTTTAAGGGGGGGATGGACTCACTTGAACAAAAAAACCGATCTGGTTCTTGCTCATCACGCATCGACAATGGTATCGACGTGATGGATGCCGATGTCGATACGATCGATATCGATGATGATGATGATGATGACAATACTGGTATATTCAGCATCGCCAATGACTGCCACAGTGAGGACGATGACGCCCTCACTGGTGAAAAAGACAGCGTTCTTTCAGTAGTGCACACGAAGCGCACTGCTGTTAACAAGGACGAAACAGCATAGGAATTTCTGCTAACTCGCGAAGCGGTAGTTCGCTTCGTTCTAGACTCTATTGCAGATGCACTAGACAGACAGAAGAGAAACGCAGACAAACATGTAAGAGCAAATGCTCTTTCATTTGATGAAGGAGACCTAGTTTTACAATCTACAGTAAACCTACCGACACACACATTGACAAACGTGGGCAGCATTAAACTACTGCCCAGTTACATCGGTCCATTTCGTGTGTTGCGCCGAATGGGCAACGCATACACGATTGAACTGCCCCGTAAGATGCGTACACATCCTACGTTTTACGTTGATCGTCTCCGACCGAACTATCAGTACGAGCCCGTTTTGAGATGCGAAGAACACCTCCGCCGTTGAGATCCGAGACCACCTTCGAGTGGTCCCGTTTCAACGAGCCAGTCTGGTCGATTAGCAAAGCGACCTGCTTACGCAGTTGAGCGATGTCTTGACGAGCTGCAGCCAGCTAGTCACGAAGAGAACGAGTCGAAAATTCGTTTTCAAGTTGCGCGAACGCAAACGCGGCACGATCGTCCGAATGATCGTTCGCTAAGGAATTGTAATTATCCCTTGCAAGGTCCTGGAGCTCGTAACGCCGAGTCCGTTCATGATCCAGGTCATCGTGCAACGGTTCCGTTACACGGTTCAGCTCTTAAACATCAAGCTGATCCGACCCTCGAGCCTGATCAGGTGTCCCGCCGCCACCACATCTTTTGGTGGACTCAAGCGGTAGTCAACTCTTTCTAGTAGAGCGTAACTTAAACCACGGCGACGTGAACGGCGTCCGGACGAGTTACCTCGTCCGCTGGCGTTGCTATCCACTGGCGTGGGACAGCTGGGAGCCTCGTGCCCAGCTGATTGTTGATGTCCAGGGTCTCGTCGAGCAGTATGACGAGACCCACCCGCTGCTTTCGAATAAGGAGCGTCGGAAAACGACCTCCCCGAACGTGAGTACAGGGATTGCAAAGTGTCAATCACTTTGGCCATCTCAGAAGAGATGCGCGCCCTCCTGTAGGGAGCATTAGGGAGGTAGGCATCCCTAGGGGAACGGTTTAAGTTGTTTAGGCAACCTGGACACGAATCACCCCACGAGAGACAGGGTAATACTGCCTCGCTCGACAGCTGGTGCAACTTGTATCGCGCCTGGACTGGGTTGCGCTTCTTAAACCTGATGCGAGCTGCATCAATTTTACCGAGCCAGTCCTCACGGCCAATGCACTCGATGTTATGGATGGGACATTCCATCCTTGCACCAAGGTTTTACCGTCTCGAAAACGGCTGCCATTGTACCGCCGATGTTTGTAAAATGCATCGGTGAAGATTTCTTCCTCAGCACGGATAATTTCCGTGCTAAAATCAGGTGGGCAGATCTTCCTATGTTCAAACAACGGGATTCGATCCCGTTCGGTAGTCATGCCGGCCAACCGGTCCAACTCTCTGGATGGCGGCATCCACGGAGACTCCACTTGAGGAGCGTGGCGCAGGACATCTCGGTCCCTGGCCTCCTTATTGGTGCTAGCGTGAGTGCTGACACCAGGGACACCCCTATCCCTCGAGTTACTTCTCTCGTGGTGATGCATATCTGCATCACTACCACCCCCACGCGTCCTACCGTTGGATGGACTTGCGTGAGGCGGAGATTCGTCGGAAAATTCACTCGATCCGAAAGATCTCGGACATGATACCGCCACTTTGACCAGAGCCAGACAGCCTGGCTTTTGCAGCGTCCGCCCCGGGTGATCCCGAGGCGTGATGAGTCACCTTTGAGTCGGATGCATCATCCGACTCGCCGGAATAGATGAGCTCTATCTCAGACTCGCTGGATTACGATTCGAGTTACCCGCTGCAGACGCAACGGATGTACCTGTCGCACGTGGTGACTCACCATGTGGAGGATTCACGACAACAGGCGATGAATCCCCTGCTGCTGAGACGTGAGAGGCACGATCCGCGGCCGCACGCATGCGTCCAGCCGCCCTTCTTTCTGCTGCAGTAGCAGCTCGCGTGGTTTTCGAAACCATGCATTATATTGGCAAACGAATGGGATTGACCAACAAGTGCTCCCTTTTCCAGAGTGATCCAATGGTGGTCACCCTGTCCCAATCAATTCTAATTCAATCAACGGGTGATTGATGGTTAGGGGTGATGTAACGGGGTAGCCCGTAACATGATATTGACACTTAACGGTGTCAATTGGAATATTGTCTAGTATGACAATATTCTACCAATATTATCCGAGGTGGATAGTACTGAAGGAATATTGTCCCCTTTTAATTATTCTTGCGCTGCTCATAAATTGGTTGATCTAAGACATATCAACCAAGGTTACGACCAATCGCTGCTGGACGCGCGCAGTGAGTGGTGAGCAGGTTGTCGTCATACGACGACGTAGTTCAATATAGTGAGATAAAGACTGAAGTTATATTGATAGCTTAACTATATTGAATACAGTTCTCTTTTTACTCTTTACATAACATAGCAGTAACGGGGTGAATCGTTACATGACAATTTATAAGAAATTGTTAATATAACTATAAGAGTTTTGTTCTCAGAATATTGTCATAAGGACAAATATTCTGTAGCACTTACGAGTAGTTCCTAATTGGTTTATACAGGCCATTATATCAACCGACGAAGACGCGCCGCGACAGACGCACGCAGTGAGTGGTGAGCAGATAGTTGATATACACATTTGTATTTAGACATAGTTAGACAAGGATAAACAGGGGATTTATTACAGACATTAACTATTATAATTACAGTTCTACTTTTTACTTTAACCAAGTACTCGCTTCTCTTTACCGTCTTCCTCTGCACGTACCAGTGTACGTGAAGTTACGAGGCACCGCCTTATTCTGTCATCAGAATAAGTAGCTTGTACTGTCACTAGTACAAGCTTCGGGGTTCCCCGTTACACCTGGTAGCACTTCGTAGTCCGTCTAAGGACACGTTCACATCTAACATGAATATGTTAGATGATGAAGATGACCAAAGCTTTCACGCTACGCGTGACGGCTACTCCCATTTGAGCGATGTCGAGTGGGACGCGGTTGAACGAATGGGATCAACCATGGGCATCCATGCTGTTTGCGTCATGCTAGAGGCTCTCAATAGAGCTGCCCAACATGCTACTATCGCCAAGTTCATTCAAAATGAACTTGAAGCAGAACGCGAGAAAGTAGCCTTGCTTCACCAACAAGGTTCTCAACAAGCAGAGTTGTTGAGAGAACAGGGTGCTCAACAGTTTGAACTGTTGAGACAGCAGCAGGCTGCTGCTGGCGGGTCGATGCACTCGCGTCGACCCGAGACTTTGAAGATTGACATCTCTAAGCATAGGGTAGTCGAAGAGGACTCCCTCTTGAGATGGTTCGTCGAATTAGACGACGCCATAAGGACGCGTCGCATCGACGATGGGGATGTGCAAGTTGCATTTGCCCAGTCAAATCTGGCAGGACGTGCCAAGACTTGGGCTTTGGGGCTCAAGTTTTTTTGCACGACCCATATGCGTTTGGGTCGTTAGAAGTCTTCAAATCGCGGCTCAGACAAACGTTTGAACCGCCTAGAGCTGAGTTCAGAGCTCGAACTGAACTCTTGAAGCTCAAACAAGGTAAGCGTGATGTGCACGCTTACGCACAACATATACGACATCTTACGAGTTGTATCAGGCCCAAACCCGGTTGATGAACACACGTTGGTTTCGGTGTTCATGCAGGGTCTTGCGGATGGTCCCGTCAAGACTCACCTGTTCCAACTTGAACTAGATTCACTATAACAAACCATTTCCATTGTGGAACAGGAAGACTTCAGTCTGAGACAGGCTCGCGCCAGCTCGACATCATATCGTCAACCGAGACGATATGACAGCGGAGGTCCAGAGCCGATGGAACTCTGTTATGTAGAGAGCGAGAAGACTCGCTCTACAGACTACAAGAAGTTGCAGAAATACAACAGATGTCAGAAGACAGGACACTACGCTTACGAGTGTAGTGCCCCTCGTCCAGTGTCTCGCAACACTGGGCGTAGTGACCGTCCACCCATGAGAAAGGGGCAGGGACGCGGGTCCGCTGTTGGTGCAAAGACGCAACAACGGGATGGACCGTCAAAAAACGGACAGGATCAGTAGGTGAGGAGCACCCTACTGGTCCAGGACCGTCAAAAGAATTTGTAGGCCTCTTGATGAAGGTTGCTCCCAACACACAAACGTTGTGCGTTGCTGCTCTAGGTAATGAGATCTCACTCGTTACCTTGAAACTCGAAGTGACAAACAAGTTGTCCCTCCGAGCTCTAGTCAAATTTGGGGCGTCCAACAATTTTGTGCAACGCCAATCGCTAGAAGATGGTCACTTCAAGTTTGTTGAGTGTGACACACCTCCTACGAGGATGACGGTACGCCTTGCGACAGGCGCATCCGTAACCGTCATGAAGCGTATAGTGAAGATCCACTATACGCTAGAAGATACCCAATACGACGATGACTTTATCGTATTGGATTTGGATGACAAATTTGATGTCATCCTTGGAATACCGTGGCTCAGAAGGTACGAACCACGGGTAAACTGGCAACATCGAACAGTAACGATGCCTGCCGCTTGTTCATCAGATGGCCATCTGATGAACGTTTTGGAGCGTCCACAAGCGTGTGGATGTACTACGAGTGAGTGCGATGGCCTCACTTGTGGTACGGTCGTTAGTACGACTGCACAAAAATTTAGTGTACCAAACGGTTACACTTCGGAGCAAAGTTCCGGCGGCTGTGAGGAAACATAGGCTGCGCCGAAGGTCCACCACTCAAATAAGCCGCGTGGACCGGGACAAAGATGTATTCCTAGCGGGGAACATCCAGAAGATCAATATATCGATCGCTCAGGGTTAAGCGAAACGATAATCCTAGATCGACCGGATGGTCTTTCGTAGAGGATCTCGCTGTGGTTGCGCAACCCCAGCTAGAGGAAGTAAAGGGAATAAGTCCCAAGATTACAAATACAGCGGAAATAAGTTCCCCGAAACCCGCGGGAATAAGTCACCGGGAAGCCGAAGGAATAAGTCCTTCGAAGCCTGAGGGAATAAGTCCCCAGGAAATGACAGAGACATTAAATGTCCTAGTCAATGACGGATCAAGTGTAGGCGCTTATACACTTGATCTGATTGCGCCTCCGAAGTTAACTTCGGAGATCACTCAGTTGCCAACGCTCGAACATAAAAGGTTCTTGCGTGATCTGCGTAGTGGCAAAGTCAAGCAGATCTGCATACTCGTCGCTGACGACGAGTGTGTAGCCGACATAAGGTCAGCAACAGCGTCTACTGAGAACGAGAGAGTTCTCAGTAGTTCATCTATGGACGAGAGTGTCCTAGATGAAAAGACACGAATTGAGCGATATGACTCCCAATCGTGGGAATCGCTCAAGAAAAATCCTCTCTATGAAGATTTGATTGAATTCAAGGATGTATTCCCTGAAACTGTTCCGTGCGACTTACCGAAGGATAAAGGTATTCGACACGAGGTCGAGCTTAAACCAGGCTCGAAGTACTGTGTCATGAAGTAGTGTCAACTGCCTCGTGAACAAGTACTTGTGATCGACAAGTTCTTTGCCGATCGTTCAGCTGCGGGCATGTGAGGGAATCAACTTCCCCACATAGCTCTCCGACCTTCTGTGTGCGAAAAGCAACAGGAGGGTGGCGGATAGTACATGCATTTAACAAGTTGAGTGCTGCAACGGTACCGGATCAAACGCCGATCCCCAGGAAGGACGTCATCATAGATGGTATGTCAAAGAGTACCATCTTTTCGTCCATGGATATGATTGGTGGATTCTATCCGACCCTCATGAGTGACCGGGACATCCCGTACACAACGGTGAGCACGCCTAGCGGCATGCTCTGGGAATGGCTAGTAATGCCACAAGGGCTTAGTAATCCCTTTGCGACGTTCAACAGATGTGATACACATCTGTTGAGACCAGTACGAGAATTCGTGCCGAGTTATTTCGATGACGTATTCATCCATAGTCGGGATATGGATGGAAAGTTGGATGTTTAGGTTCACGGGTACCACGTCCGACAGGTCCTTACAATCATGCGAAAGCATCAATTGTATGCAAACCTCAAGAAGTGTATATTTGCAGCAAGCGAAATACCACTTCTTGGGTGCATCGTTGGTAAGAACGGTGTACGTCCAGATCCCGAAAAGATCAAGGCGATCACCGACTGGCCTGTGCCGGTTGATGTCAAAGGTCTTCGGAAATTCCTTGGGCTAGCGGCGTATTTGCATAAGTATTCACGCAATTACGCCGAGATGACTGTGCACCTCTCTCGTTTGTTGAAAAAGAACGAGAGGTGGTTATGGAACGCTGAATGTCAGCTCTCCTTTGAGGGTATCAAGCAGAGCTTGATACAATCCCCAGTCCTAGCAATTGCCGATCAGGACAGGCCATTTCATGTGGTCTGTGATGCCAGCGATTTCGCAATCGGCTGTGCATTAATGCAGTACGACCTAGAAGGCGTTGAACGCGTCGTCTGCTATCAGTCGCGTCAGCTCCAGCCAGCTGAGCGGAACTATCCAGTGCGTGACAAGGAACTCCTTGCCATGAAGTATGCACTCGCGAAGTTCAGAGTCTATCTATTAGGAGATAGACCCTTCATTGTTTACACTGACCATGCGTCATTACGCACGGCAGTGAACAGCCCGCACCTTTCACAACGAATGGCGCGGTGGTTGTCATTCTTTGCAGAATACAACTTTACGGTCGAGTACAAACCAGGACGACTTAATGTCGTCGCTGATGCACTCTCACGTCGTCCCGACTTTGAACCAGTCGTGAAACCCAACAGTGAGACAGTCACTGTTGCGGTTATGACGTCCTCAGTCCCATCTACAACGTTGTATGATGATGTGAGGCGAGCATACGCCCAAGATGATGAGATTGTGAAGTTGTTGACACATCTCTCCCAACCATCTCGAGAATCGTTGAAACGATTGTCGTCTGCGTATCGATCTGCATCAGATCGATACACTACTCGCAACGGGTTACTGTATTATACAGCCGTTTCTGGTGACACACCACGTGTTGTCATTCCAGATGATACTGATCTGCGTTTGCGGATCATGTTCGAGTATCACGATGCTCCTATAGGAGGACATCGTGGCCGAGAGAAAACATATCTCACGGTGAGTCGAGACTTTTACTGGCCCCGCCAGCATCAGTTTGTGCGAAAGTATGTTCGCGCATGCGAAGTCTGTCAACGAGTGAAGTCAAGTCCTTCACTGCGTGCACCTTTACAGCCTCTACCGTTTCCGGCTGAGCGCTGGGAATCCGTCTCAATGGATTTTGTCTTCGGGTCCCAAAGACGCACGCGGGAATACGGGTATTCTCGTATTTGTTGACAGATTCAGCAAAATGGTACACCTTGTGGCTGTACCAGAGTCAATCATGGCGAGTGGCTGTGCTTGTGTCTTTATTGACACCATCTTCCGACTTCATGGGTTGCCCCGTGAACTCGTATCAGACAGAGATCCACGATTCACTGCTGATTTCTGGCGTTCCGTGTTCAAATCACTCGGAACGAGCTTGAAGATGTCTACATCTGATCATCCAGAGTTAGATGGTCAGACGGAACGTGCCAATCGTGTCCTTGAAGAGATACTTCGAGGATACGTACATTCCTTTACGAGTAGGAGTGAGTTATTGCCAATGGTAGAGTTGGACATTAACAACTCGGTGCATGCGTCCACGACACATACACCGTTTTACGTGAATGGCTTACGCCATCCGCGTGTACCCACCTTACTAGAGTGTAACTCTGGTTTAAGGGGGGGAAGGGAGCAAAAACCGATTTGGTTCACGCTCATCACGCTCTGACGAAGAGGTCATTGCGTTTGATGCCGATATCGATAGCATCGATATCGAAGAAGATGATGCCAGTGAGAGTGCGGAAGCCCTCACTGAAGGAAAGGTTAATGTTGCTGCAGTGCACTCACAGCGCACTGAAGCTAACGAGTCACCAGATGAGTTCATACTGGCTCGCAAAATGGTGGTCAGTTTTGTGCAAGACTCCATCGCCGAAGCGGTGGATAAGCAAAAGCAAAACGCTGACAATAATGGAAGGGCAAACACTCTTTTATTTAATAGAGGTGACTTAGTCCTACTGTCTACGGTTAACCTACCAAAGCATGTAGTGACTAACTTGGGTAGCAGTAAACTACTACCCAAGTACATCGGCCCATTTCGTGTATTGCACCGCCTAGGCAATGCATACACGATCGAGTTGCCACGTAACATGCGAACGCATCCTACATTTTACGTTGGTCGGCTTAAGCCGTACCATCAGTACGCTGCTTCTTCCGATGAAGAATGCCCTTGCGCTCAAGCATCTCGCAGAGAGCCTTGTGCCCCCGATAGTGGGCATCGACAAGGGTCTGAAGAGCAGTTATCTCATCCCGAGACCGATCAACATTCCCACGAGCTACCCTTAGCTCGTCACGAACAGATGTCAGAGCTCTCTCGTTCTCGAGCTGAGCAAAGGCAAACTCAGCTCGATGCTTCAAGACAGCGTCCGCCAGTTGGAGACGCCTGTCCCGCTCGTGTTCGAGATCGCCGCGTAACCCTTGCGTTACGCGATCAAAGAAGCTCTCGAAAACCAACGCATCCCCACGATTGTGTGGAGAGCGTCTTCCCTCCTCCTCCACCTCCTTTGGAGGACTCTCGCGGTGGCCAGCGCTATCTGGTTGAGCGGCCGTTGAACCACCGCGACGTGAACGGACGTCGGACGAGTTATCGCGTCCGGTGGCGCGGCTATCCCCCGTCCTGGGATTCTTGGGAGCCCCGCTCCCAATTGATGGTTGACGTACTGGGTCTGGTCGAGCAGTACGACGCGACACATCCTGTGCCGCAGAAGGACCGCCGGAGAAAGTCTTCCCGGCACGGTCGTAAAGGGATTTCAGGCTGTCAATCCCTTCGTACATCTCACTAGAGATACGTACACGCCACCACGGGCTATTAGGGAGGTAAGCCTCCTTAGGTGCTCGTGTAGAGTTGTTCACACAACATGGGCACGAGTCTCCCCAAGAGAGGCAGGGTAATCTTTTTTCCCTTGACAGACGATGCAGCTTGTAGCGTGCACCTGTCGGGGTTCGCTTTTCAAACTTATCACGAGCTTTGATAAGTTTGTCGTTCCAAACGTCACGACCTACATCCTCAAGGTTATGGATGTAGGCGTTCCACACTTGAAGCAGTGAGGGACCATCACGTTTGTGATTCCCACTGCACCATCGATGTTTAAAGAAAGCATCGATGAAGAACTCATTCTCAGCGCGATAGTCTTTCGCGCTGGGGTCAAGGTGATGGATCCTTGACGAATCGAACAATCGTGTTCGATAACGATCACTCGTCGTCGCCAACAGGTGATCCATGACGGATCTTGGAGGCATCCATGCCTTCTTCTCGGGAGCGAGACGCAATACACTGCGGTCCCGCTCTTTTCACGACGTGCCGACAGAAGTACTGGCACCTCTTTGCGAAGTGGTGTCAATAGAAGAACCGACACCACTGTTAGCGCCCGAGTCTCGCGACCTCGAGCGCCTTCGCTTCGGCGATGGTTCATCTGATTCATTAGATGAACCAAAGATGCTACGACGCATAGCATCATCCATGCCACGATTGGCAGGCGGATTGGATTCGATCGCCGTCGATACGGATCCGTCTTCCGTATCAGGAGAGTATGAGACACCGAGCTCATACTCTGTGAAGACATGAGTGTCTTCATGACCAGCGCCTGCATCACCAAGTGACACAGGCTGAGTCGCTTCAGCAACCGATGAGACATCAGTTGCTGCGGTTTCTGCTTCGGCGTCCGCACAGAGACGAGCGGACGCGCTCTCGGCGGCCTTGCTCGCGCATCGCATGGGCTTGTTAACCATGCGATACATGTTGGAAAGTGGACTCGGACCAACAAGTGCAAACCCTGTCCCAAACGATTTGGGACGAGTATCCATTTAGTCAATCAGTCACGAAAGTGACTGATGGTTAAGGGGGGGGGTGATGTAACGGGGTGAATCGTTACATAACAATTTATAAGAAATTGTTAATAGAATATAACTATAAGAGTTATATTCTCAGAATATTGTCATAAGGACAAATATTCTGTAGCACTTACGAGTAGTTCCTAATTGGTTGATATAGGCCATTATATCAACCGACGAAGACGCGCCGCGACAGACGCACGCAGTGAGTGGTGAGCAGATAGTTGATATACACATTTGTATTTAGACATAGTTAGACAAGGATAAACAGGGGGTTTATTGCAGACATTAACTATTATAAATACAGTTCTACTTTTTACTTTAACCAAGTACTCGCTTCTCCTTACTGTCTTCCTCTGCACGTACGAGTGTACGTGAAGTTCCGAGGCACCGCCTTATTCTGTCATCATAAAAAGTAGCTTGTACTGTCACCAGTACAAGCTTCAGGGTGTCCCGTTACAATAGCTGTTAAGTAGATTAGCTTCCTCTGCACGTACTAGTGTACGTAAAGTTTCGTGGCACCCCAAACAAAGGGTGCCCCGTTACACATGCAGTCATAATCCTCCACGGGCAGCGCCAACGAAGTTCAGGAAACAGACATGCAACAAACAAGATGTAGCAAAATAGAAGCACCTGCGGGTCGACACACGTTCATCTTTTTGCTTCGGCAGAACCGCAGACGTGCTCCTTGTATTTTCCAGACGAGCCCCGTCGTCCAGCTGGACACGTTAGCTACATTCGTGTCCAGCCTGGTTAGCACCGCCAATCGCCTTGCATTCTTCAGCATGACACACATCTGCTAATCTCTGGTTCTGATCATTACACATGCTTTCGTTCTGCCTCTTTATCTCCTTCTTTCTCATCATGACCTCCTGCTCTTCACATTTTCCCTCGAAGTTTCTACTTAGGGCGTTTACCTACGTAAGAGACTGTCATTTCTAAATATTTCGGGTTCTGTTCAGCCAATTCAACAAGCAGTAACTTAACAGACTGGACCCCCCCCTTCCTTCGGGAGCGGAAGAAAGAGGGACCTCAAGCTCTAAAGATGACACCGACCTGCGGCATCCCCGAGTTACGTTGCAATCGCTTTAAAATTATGGAACATCGTCACATCTGGTAACATTTCCACAATAAGCATCTTTGCTCCTTTCACGCGCCCGTAAGGTCGGTCGATTGTGTGTCGCTGCTGCCGCTGCAATTACAAATGACACGATAGCGTAAGGTGGACGGTTTTTTCAAACAACGAGATCCTCGACATCTGATCGCTTGATCCCGGCAGTTCTAATCGGGCTCAGCCATTCAAATCATCTTGGCACACGTTTTCCCGTTATATAGAGCCAGTGCTAGTCTTTCAAAATCAACCTCTATCTGCGGTTCGTTCTTCTTCAAGTGGCACGAAGCCAGGACACAGCGTGATATGTTAGATGCAAGTTTTTTGAAACGCACTCACTGCGACATGGCGATAAAAGTAGCCTTTTTCGTAAATCAATAGAATGCTGACCAGCTTATTGTATGTGACAGGAAGTGAACACTTCTTTGGGCTAAACGTAATGGAGCTGGAGACGGCACCAACACATCGCTTAAAGAACCTGGTCGTCGCAAAAGGCTGATTTCTATGATCCTGGTCCTTTTTCTAGGCTGATTTCTATGATCCTGCTCCCTTTTCCAGGCCATTTTGCTACTTATCCCTAGAGATGTGGAGGTCAGGACCTTTTCTGCAAATACTGAGGATCCCTCTGGGATGTGTGAAGCACGTTCTGCGGTAGAACTTTCAGTTGCGCAGCACGCAAGCTTGGACCTTGTACCCCGATTCGACCGCGCTCAGCTTTTATTCAAGTGATCAGCTTTTCGCAGGAGTTTCATGTTTCATCTGGTCACGCGATTTGAGGCGCTTGCTAGTGGACAAAAACGTACCTGGAAGACAGGTACCAGAACCAGTCAAATGTCACTGGGGATCGGGATCAGAATTCGTTTTTCATGATGGACATCATGGAGACGACACAGGACGTTGGAGCCCTATTCGGTAACACGTTGACGGATATTACAGCGAACACGGTTGGTTATCAAAAAGGAAAATGGATCGGAGTTATAATGCCAGCCTTGCGCATTTTTCACGCACTCTTTGGTCACTCGGATATCCCCGAGGAGTTTGCGGTGCCACATTCGAATACACAATGGCCTCAAGCCACATGGGGACTGTGTTTGGGCCAATTCATCCGTCAAAGCAACGACGTCAAGCGGCTTTACAGTGTTGAAGTTGCTGCCTCGCAAGCAGAACTAAGCAAGCTGGGGTTTACGTGGACGGTGACGAATGCTGCCGCTCGATCGTGGAAGCATCAGATTCTGCCCGCATTGCGCATTTTCTACCAAGAACACGGTCACTGCAATGTTAAGGACGATTTTGTGGTTCCAGAGGGGAACCCGTGGCCTCCCTATGCCTACGGGCTACATCTTGGAAATATCGTCAAGCAGATTCGATCTGAACAGAGTTACACAGCTCAAGCCAGGGCAGATAGTGATGCGCTAGAGAAGTTAGGTTTCTTGTGGGTTCCAAGAGACATGGAGTGGCAGGAGTGCATTCTGCCAGCATTGTTCACGTTTGCGGATGAATTTGGAGACTCCGAATCGATGACGTCAGATTTTGTAGTTCCGTCCAAAGCGCCCTGGCCCAAGCAGACGTGGGGCCTACAACTCGGGAAGTTCTTAAATGACTCACAGTGGCGCGAACAGTACTTTGTGCAAATTGTTCGTGATGCCGATGCATTGGAGGGCGTAGGCTTCGAGTTACGTCTTTCGGACTTGACCTGGAAGCAACGGATTGATCCATTGATGACAATTTTCTTGACGGTCTCTCCGGACAAATCGACGCTCCCCGAGGAATTCGTTGTTCCCCATATGCACCCGTGGCCGAAGGTCATGTGGGGCTTACACTTGGGTAGAATAGGCATGCAAAATCCTGACCGCATGGCAATTGTGGTGGAAAATTGGAAACGGCGAAGCAACTCGCTAAAGACACTGCCACTAGTGTCAGGAAACCGGGATCAGCTATGGAAGATCAAGATTTATCCTGCTTTGGCGATGTTTGTACGACTGTTTGGAAATTGCCACGTTGACGAACATTTTGAGGTTCCAAATGAATACCCGTGGCCGAAACTGAGCTGGGGCCTGCGGCTAGGAGCAGAAATCGCACTGTATTCGAACAGTGGCACGTACTTCGAGCAAGTTGGACGTGATGCAGATCTTTTGAATGCGCTGGGGTTTTCGTTCAAGCTAATGAGAACTCCTTGGAAACGATTTGGCGCTCCGCTACTAGAAACGTTTCTTATGGTCCACCCGTCTGCGGTTGTACCCGACGACTTCGTGATACCATGCGACGAACCTTGGCGGAAGAAAGTGTGGGGTATTAAGCTAGGAATTCTCGTGCGCTGGAACTCCCAGCACATGACTGCCATTGAGTATGGGTGGAGAATGGAAGTGCTAAATGCTGTCGAAGTTCACCGGTCGATGGGTGGAGATATACCAATCCGGAATAAGATCGTGATTCCATCTCAGCCACCTTGGCCGACAAGGACATGGGGAATGGACTTAGCACATATTCTGCACCGTCTCAACGTTGGCGCGTACTATGATGGGCACGTCGCCTTGACCCGGACGCCTTTGAAAAGTTTTCTTCGTCAACAGCGAGATGAGGCCTGGGAACTAGTTTTTGCAGCTTTGAAAGTGTTCTCAAGCCAATTCGGGCACTGCTACATCACACCTCAATTTGTCTTTCCCGAAGGGTCTCCGTGGCCGAAGAGTGTCTGGAATCTGCAGTTAGGAAAAATAGTTGAGAACATGAAGATGAAGGGCAACTTTTTTTCGTATATTGGGCGGTGTGCAGACAATCTGAACAAGATGGGCTTTGCACTTTCGCTCTCCAATGCAGTTTGGGAGAAAAAGGTTGCGCCACTTGTTGCAATGTTTGCCAAACTTCACCCTCGAGTCAGTGTTCCATGGGAATGTGGCTGGGGGTTTACTATACCACATAAAGAACCGTGGCCTGAGAACGTCTGGGGAGTAAACCTCGGAATAATCATTCAGTGGAATTTGATTCAGTTGGAGACAATCGAGCGCGACTGGAAGGAGCAGGTAATGCAGGCCAACGAGACTTACCAATTCGAGAATGGCAACCGAATTCTTCGTGATCACTTTGTGGTCCCAGCACGGTTTCCATGGCCTTACAAAACTTGGGGCAGGGAGCTTCGGCATATCCTTACGCGCGTACAGGTAGGACGGCCATACTGTGGTCATATAGCTCTTGTCGAACCTCGTGCGAGCGAGGGTGGTGTTGCTGCCTGTAGCAAGAACAGAGAGTGGAAAATGATTATTCTCCCCGCACTCCACACATTTGCCGTGGTGTTCGGACACTGCACGATTTCGGATGATTTTGTTGTCCCATCAGCTTATCCCTGGCCCAACAAAACGTTTGGACTGCAGTTGGGAAATGTCGTCTCGGACATGGAGAAGCACGGATTCTACTTTGCTGAAGTTGGGCTTTATGCCGATCAACTAGAGGCTTTCGGCTTCCGATACAAGTTAGCCGACGCGGTATGGCAGGAGCATATGACACCTTTGCTGAAGACGTTTGCCACGCAATTCCCTCATGAGATTATGCTTGAGGATTTTGTCGTGCCTTCAACAACACTGTGGCCTCAAAACTTTTGGGGCTACAAACTCGGCAAAGTTGTGTCGTGGTCCTCCCAGTTTGTTTGGAATCACAAACAAACGCGATGGGAACAGCGTACATTGCCGCAGTCTACCAATCGAGCAGGTGGATATGGCTACTGTAGGGTACCAGCCGGTTTTAAGTTTCCCTGTGAGCTCCCATGGCCCAAGCACATGTGGGGTTTACGAATGAGAAGTTTTCTCGGAGAGGTGAACGAAAGTGCCCATCTCCCTCTTTATGATGACTTACACCGCGCTTTGCTAGACGAGCAAGAAGTTGGGTTTGTCTTTGAACTAATGACGGAAAAGGCAGCATGCGAGAAAGGTGAACGCGAAGAGTTCATCGCGGGTGTAATGCGATCATCGCCGGAAGAACCAAATAGCTGGTTACGCAAGCGTTCACTCGCAGACGTTTCGTGTTGTAGATAGACAGGATGAACTGTGAAGTGAGTTATCGCCTTGGTCTCGAGACTCTCGTGGAAAGAGTGTCGATGGAGCGACGGGAGGAAGTGTTCAAGCGTAGCATCCACAAAGTTTTGCAACGACACGACTACGATTACAAGGACGCTTTGCAACCCGGCTCGATGTAATGTGTGGCGGGACCTTTTCCGCTGCACGTGATCGACCACCGCTGAACAATACGTGTGGTGGGTAACGACGTATTACGAGTAAAAGTGTAGAAATATATCTGATGCACGTACTATCATTTGTCTGGAAAGGTCTTAACTGGACCATCTCATCATTCAGTTGTCAGACGTTGCGGAGACAAGAGAAAAAAACTGCAACAAGCTCCACGCTACCGCATTGGCTGCACCGTCGTTCATCTCGAACGCGCTTTTCTCGGTCGTGGGCACCTGCTTTTGTATGAAGTCTCGCGGCTCGAACGCGTGAAACGCGTCGATACTTGTAAAGTACAGGCGCACATTATTTGTGAAGGCACTTGCAACGATAGACAGGTTAGTAACAGGCATCTGCATCGCCATACACGTCCTCGAGCATGTCGTACTTCCACAGAATGTGATCTTTGCGGGCCAGTTGCTCTCCCGTGCAGCTTCTCTTGGCTGCTTCTCAAAGTCGACGCCAATCCCCAGACCAAACGCTGGGTATGCTGGATTCCGAGTTCGCACCATTAACGCAACCGAGTGTGTCTTCAGCAGCTTGGAATGTCGACCTTGTTCGTGAAAGAGGTCGGTGTATATCTCGTGCATGTCTTCAGCCGTGGATTGCAGCCCGTAAAGACTGTTCTCGAGCCCTTTGTAGATTGCACAAGAACCCGTGCTCATATAGCTCAAGTGCTTTCCTGAGACGACACCAAATCCACTTGAACTGTTACTGCTTCTGTTGCCACTCACATGTTCACGCTCACCGACAGCAGCCTGTCGATACGCATAGAACTGCACATACTGGTTCACTGGAGAGCGTTTTACGTCCACGGCTCCGCCAAAGGCAACAAACGTCGTACTTGTCAGCAGTAGTGGGTCAAATATATATCTGGTCAAGTATTGCTTCAGAGTCACGCCACTGAGCTTCTCCACCATAAAAGCCAGCAGCACGTAGTTCTCATCCGCATACTTGAAGCTCGTTCCTGGCTTGAATGCCAGCGGCTGATCAATAAACGTCCCCACTTGCGTTGCAAACGACATCATCGTCTGCAGCGGCTTATCTCTTTCCTGAGTCTCAAAACCAGAGCCCATATAGAGCAAGTCGTGATACGTCACAACTTGACACGCTGTCTCGTTCGCAACGGTCGGGCACCACGTTGTGCGGTTCGTGTCAAGGCCAAACTTTCGCCAATCGTCCTGATCCCAGTACGTGCTCACTGACTGTCGAAGATCCACAAGTCCTCTCTCTTGCAATTGCAGCATTGCAACTGCCACCAGTAGCTGCACGTGTGTCCCCATTGAGAACACGCTCTGCTCCTCCATTGGCTGCATGAATGGCACATTAGCAAGCCCCTTAGCCATCTGAAATATCTTCTGTCCATTAGTACTCAGCCTCACGACGCCAGAGAAGTCGTGCGCGTCCAGTATCGACTTCCAGTCGAGCGTCCGCTCGTAGTGGACCGGTGCAGGCCACACGAGCGCGCCTAGGAACAGTGAGATAAGCGACGCGGCCACAAATCCCACGATGACACGTCCCAGACACTTGGAGCGATACTGAAGCTGCTGACGCGCACGCTGTTGCTCGTGGTAGCTCGACAGCTGCTGCTGGAGCGAGTCCTGCGGGACGAGAGGGAGCTGCTCGCTCGACGGCATGATGGTGGACAAAGATACGGTGTTCGGAGTGAGTAGTGTACGAGAGGTAGGGGACGGAGTGTATGCGACGTGTGCAAACATGGTGTTTCTAAGTGGATGCGTTTTCGGAGCTCCTCGTGTAAAAATGGCTACATAGATGAGTGGAGGAGTCGGATTCACGTGCACATCATGAGGGGACGAGTGGACGAATGCTTGAGCACGATGAGAAAGGAGTGGATGCAGAGCAACGACGTGGCGCTAGTACAGTCTTTTCCGAGACCTGAAGAAGGTGTTGGGACGGAGACGGGGGCTGGGCGAGTATCATACGCGCAATTGTATCGATGGCATCAGGAGCTGCTCGGAGTGTTAAAGAGCAAGGAGAAGGAGGAGTCGCAGGAGCGGACGGTCGTGGTGGGGATCAATTTGACCCCATTTTCAATGGAAGAGACTGCAATGATGTTGCTTGTAGCAGAACAGAGGCGATGGATCTACGTGGCTCTGGATGTGCAGCTTCCGGTCGCTCGACAGCTTGCGCTGTTGCAAAGCAGCGGAGCGCAATGTCTCGTGACGACTGTTGACAGTCCGCTGGCAACGTATTTGGTGGAGAATCGAGGAGAGGCAATTCATATGGAGAGTGTTGACGATGAGAGGAGTGCGTTCTTGCCTGTGCAAGTCGTTACGCTGTTGAGCACGTATTTTTCGACAGGACTCGAGGAGGCAGCATGTGATACGGATTGTCGACAGCGATATGATCAATCGATTGATGCACCAATGTATATTCTTTTTACCTCTGGAACGACCGGGAAGGCGAAGAGAGTGCTGGGATCACGAAGAGGAGCGTGGACACGGCTGGTCTGGATGTGGAACATGTACCCCTTTGCTACGTCGAAGGATGGCAGATCGAGTGGGCGAGTGTTGCGAGCTACAAGACTTTCGTTCGTAGACTCGGTGTGGGAGATCTTGGGCGCTTTCTTACAGCGTGTGCCGCTGGTTCATGTGCAACTCCCTCGGCATCGAGGTGAAAGCATGCGCCACTGTTCTATGACAAGCGTTGTACTTGATGATAGCACGCGCTTTCTGAAGGTGATCCAGCGCGAGAACGTGACTCGTTTCACTGCAGTGCCAAGTGTGCTGGATGTTCTTTTGCAACAAACGACAGAGATTGAGCGAAAATCTTGCTTGGCTGGACTGCGCTACGTCCTGAGTAGTGGCGAGTCCCTACCATTTCAGGTTCTCCGACGACTAACGGCCAGTTTGCCAAGCGTGACCATCTTAAATCTCTATGGTGAATTCTTTGCCTATCTTCTTCAGTCCACGACCTGGTCTCACTATTGATTATTCCACGCAGGTAGCACAGAGTTGAGCGGTGACGTTACGTGCATGGAGCTCAAGGCACCTCTATCGTCTGCCAAGATAGCAGAATGGCAGCGACACGATGTTCCAATCGCTACGTTAACAGAACGCGGAGTTGTTGGTGGTCATGAAACGTTCCTCGTACTTCTACCAGAGGACCATGAGAATGACACAATGTATTCAAGAAATGGTTCAGCTACACTTATCTGGCCAAGACATCATACATACGAGATGGTCACTACTACACGGACTAACAGGCAGCCAATAACGGGTATCTTGTTCGTTTCTGGCCCGCTTCTGGTGGAGAAATACGTTGGTGACAGCCAAAAAGACATGTTTGTTGATTCGGCTTTGTTGTTTGGTAATCGAGTGGAAAGTGAGCAAGCTAGAGATGAGCGACCACGCCGGTGGTTTTGCACAGGTGACATTTGCTCATTGATTCAAGGACGTCTGTATTTTGATGGACGCAAAGACAGCGGTGTGAAAATCCGAGGACAGCGAGTTTACATGGAGGCAGTGGAGCGTGGAGTAGCTCTCGCATTGCAAGAAACTACGGGAGGCAAGAAATATGGTGGCAGCGGTCCCGTCATCGCGTTTACAGTTTCAAAGCGAGTTAGCGGACTCCTTATAACGTGCATCGTGGCTTTTATCATCAGTGACGACATCGGCAGTACCGGCATTGCTCAATATGCTGAGACGAAAGCAGTAAACGCTTGGATAGCAGAACACTACGGGACGGCACACGTTCCGCACAAATTGTTCATAGTGCCAGCAAAAGTAGTGCCACGTTTTGCGCATGGAAAAGTCGACCGGAAGTCGCTGAAGAAATTTTACAAGGATGTCATCGAGGATCGCGATTTGTCGATGCCAGCCTCACGCATTCATAGGACGGTGACTAGCCCCACGCAAACGTTAGTGGCACGACTGATGAACGAGATACTTGGAGTTTTTTTGTCTGGAGGTGACGTTATTGACGACAACCGCACCCGAACATTTGCTGAGCTGGGTGGAAACTCACTGCTCGCAACTTTGTTCATGCATGAGCTCCGCCAAGAGCTTGGTGCGCTTCCCCTGACTGCTCGTAAACTGGTGCGTCCATCATCTTGTGTATTTCGAAGCCTGTTGCTATCTACCGCTGACTCCAAAACATATTTGCTTTGTCTGCTGGCCAGCTTGACCTGACGATGGATGAAATAGAGTCTGCGTGCTTTGTGAAAAGCCTAAGCGAAGACACAGGAGTGAAGCATCCGGTCCAAACCACAAGACACATCTTTGATTTGACTGGCGAACGTGCCCCAAGCACTGCAGAATCCGTCAAACGACTGAAGACAACACCCAATGATTGCTCGGGTGTCAATCCTGGCAGCGAATGCAGCAGTGACATGCAACAAAGCCGATTATCGTGTATATCTCGCTACAATCGCTCGTCCACCAGCGCCAATGGTTTTCATCTCCCAATGTGCTTCACTATCCCGGTTTCGTCGGCAGAAGAGATCACGTCTGGAGCGCCATCATCATGCTTACCGTGGAAATTACGACGGGTGTGGCAAGTTGACCTAAACAAGTGCATCGATGCATCTCCTCTCGTTGTACAGCATCGCGACCGCAAAGGTTCAATCTGCGCGACTTGGGCAATTGTTGGCTCACATTCAGGCCAGCTAGTTTGTGTAGACGTGCTGGCAGCTGGACAAGAGGTTTGGCGAGTCACACTCGATGACCGTATTGAAGCATGTGCAGCTGTTAGCATAAAGCACCAACTTGTGTATATCGGGACGCACGCCGGATCTTTTTTCGCTTTATGTTTGCAATCAGGAGTCACTCGATGGAGATTTGACTGCGAGGGGACCATTAAAGCTTCAGCTGTGGTGATGGATGAACGACAGCTAGTTGTTTGTGGGGCGTATAACAGCAAACTGTACGGCCTAGACGCTGTTACGGGACAGAGGCAGTGGGTCGTCGACTTAGACAGCAGCATTTTTTCGACGCCTCTCTATTGTGCTTCACCCGAACAGCTTTTTGCTGCTACGACGAGCGGGAATGTTGTGGCTCTACGAGTGAGTCACGATCGTGTCGAGATGCAGTGGAAACTGCAACTGCCAGCTCCAGTATTTGCAGGATTGAACGCCGACTGTGTCTTCGAAATGCTGATCGTTGGGTGTGCAGACGGCCAGCTTTACGGAGTCTCGATGAGCACAGGCGATATCCAATGGCAAGTGATGACCGGCAACCCAATCTTCAGCTCGCCTTGCGTCTACCAGCCAGGATCAATCGTGTTTGGATCTCACGACGGGATGCTGCGAAAGGTACATTGCAACAACGGAAAACTCGCGTGGACTACTGATCTTCACAGTGCAGTCTTCGCGTCCCCTACCGTCATTCAACTTCAGCTTGCGTCCACTGCAACCAGCCAAAATGACAGCAAAGACACCGGTCGCTTGATTTGCTGCGTGACGACAACGGCTGGTTGCATGTACTTCTGCGACGCACTGACTGGCTCCATATTATACGAAACGTGCGAGTCAACAGGAAACCCACGGATCGACACGCCTACTGGTCAAAGCAGTGCTGAAGTGCTTGGCCCTCTCTTTAGCTCGCCAGTGGTCGTCGACAATTGGTGCTTGCTAGGCACCCGAACAAACAAAGTCTATGGATTCGAGCTCGTTTGCAGAGCCGCAACTGGTATCTAGTACCACCTAACTATTGCCATGGTTACTGGTTCCGATCCGAAGCTATGACGGTGCTGGACTGCAAGCTACAGTCTCCTCCTCCTCGATAGTTAGTATAAGATTGAAAGAAGGTGCGCTAAGGTCATTGCTGCTCACGTAGACGCTCGAGATGCTACTATGAAATGTATAGAACAGTCTCAAGTATTTGATCTCGAAATTTGTTAAATCTGACGAGTGTGTTCAGCAGTAGAAAGAGGAGGCAAGCAAACAAAGGGACCGTCGAAAGAAAGGCTGGATAGAAACAAGCCCCGCTGTGCTCTCGCTGGTCCGGATCAGATGCAAGCTTACCTCGTGTAAGTATCCATCTTGATCACGCCTAGTTGCATCTGATCGACATCAAGTAGGTGGTACATAGGTACAATATCGTCGAGCGAGCGAGCGAGTCGAGCCAGCTACTACTGATTTATCGACTCAAAACGATCCTTTCCAGCGCTCAAAAGAGCTTTTCACCGACCGCTTGACCGCTCAATCCGGACAGCGGCAACTCATGCGATCCACGCGTCGCTTCTTGGCAATAACTGGTGTGGCCTGGACGGTCTCTCTCACGGCCGCTGCTGTCGCTGAAAGGGTGCACAATCTCCAGCGTCTACGGGACTTTCGCGGTCACGAGTATTTCGTGCAGTTTGACGTGCACGAGTCCAACACAAGTGACGATTCAGAGCATTCGGTCGAGTTCCCGGTTGAGGAAAAGTACTTTACCGATGCACTTGTGGATCACTTTGCCCCTGTGTCGAAACGCTCGACGTGGAGGCAGAGGTACCAAGTCAATGAGGAATTCTGGGGGGGTCAAGGTTACCCAGTGTTTCTCTACATCGGAGGTGAAGGACCGTTGGGACCGAAGGCGATTACCGATCGAACGTTTGTCTATTACCTGGCAGAACAACATCAAGCGCTCCTGATTGCGCTAGAGCATCGGTTCTATGGCAAGTCGTACCCGACTGAGGACATGAGTCTACCTAATCTAGTCTACCTCTCGAGCGAGCAGGCATTGGCAGACTTGGCCCATTTCCGTTCCTTTGTGGCGGATACCTACGGACTCGTGGATGAAAAGTGGGTAGCTTTTGGAGGGAGCTACCCTGGCAATCTAGCAGCGTGGGTAAAGCTGAAATACCCTGTACTATTTGCCGGATCCGTTGCAAGTTCTGCACCGTTGCGTGCCAAAACCGACTTTTTCGAGTACATGGAGGTCGTGGGCGATGGATTGCGGTACTTTGGTGGCGGTGAGTGTTATCATGAAGTGGAGCAGGCAATCATGCTGCTCGGACAGCTTATGGATGGTAATGAAAACGATCGCAAAAAGGTGGACGAGCTGTTTAAACCGTGCTACCCAATGACAAACGAGTTCGACGATTCAGTGTTCGAGACTTCGGTCATGGGGGCGTTTCAGGATATAGCGCAGTATAATGCCATTCACGACGGCGTCATGACGCTCGAGAAAGTCTGCAAGCATTTCACCAAGCCAGGAGATGCCGTCGAGAAGCTGGCTGCGTTCATTGACAAAGTCCGTGTTGGCGATTGCCTCGACTCCAAGTTTGAAGGAGCAGCAAACGGGACCGTGGAAGTGCTGAGTCGCGACCAGTTTGACGGTGAGAGCAGTGCTCGACAGTGGGTATACCAGACGTGCAACGAGTTTGGCTACTTCCAGACCACGAAAAGTCTACGCTCTCCTTTTCACGCACTTCGAGCCGTGACGGAAGCCAACGTCGGTACCGAAGTTTGCAAGCGCGTGTACAATATAAACGTAGCACCGGACGTCACCAGCACGAACCTTGACTACGGCTCGCTTGCGATCGAAGTACAGGGCGTCACTTTTCCAAGTGGCACCATCGATCCATGGCATGCATTAGCCGTGCAGAATTCGACCGACTTGCACTCGTTCTCGTCCGAAGCGGTGTTCATCGAAGGCACTGCCCACTGTGCTGACATGTATTATCCAAGTGAGAGAGATACACCGTCGTTGCAGTGGGCACACGCCAAAATCGAGGCCCAAGTGGAGCATTACCTCAAGGATACGAACACTGGCAAAAGACGTCAAGAGATTTCAGAACTTGAAGCTGTCGAGTAGACAAATCACGATTGTCCAATGGCTACAACTTCATTATTGTCGGACTAACAGTCAGGATCTACCAACGACAAGCACGAATGTAGCCATCTTAACATCTAGTAACTATCAACGAATGCACGAATGTAGCCATCTAAACAGTCCCGGGTCGAACTCCATCGTGATCAAATTCGGTTCGTAGCTCTTCGTTGACTTTGCACACTTTCTACACTCTCTTGGACCGAATACGTGGCTGTAGCTTTCCAAATTTGACTGGTTCCCACGCATTCTCAATAGATCGCTCATTCGTCGTCCCATGGCTTCGTACGAGACCCCTCGCGTAGACGTGAACGCCGCTGGCTGGGGCCCCACGGTGCTCCCCGAGCAGTTTCTAAACGTGCCGTATGCGCCGTTTAACAAGGGCGACAAGCTGGGGAAAGCCGCAGATTTTGTCAGCAACTACGCGCCACGCGGGGGTCGCTATATCCGCGACCCGTCGGGTGTGAATGCTGAATTCCAGTACAAGCACGACTCGAAGGAGGACGCAACGTTCCAATTGGTGGACACGTCCAAGGGCACGCGTCCCAAGAATGAGGACCGACTGCGTCCGACGTGGAACCAGCAGCGCTTTGGTGGTCGTGGAGGACGTGGAGCCGGTGGACGCAACAGCTATGGTGACAAACCCGATGCCAATGCTGCCACTACGTCGTCTGCGCAGCTTCGCATGAAGGGTATGCAGAAGCAGAACAAGCGCTGGGACCGTCTGAGCAATGCGCGTCGCCAATTTACGTTCCGACGCCGGGACGAGGTGCAAGTCGATCGCGCGGCGTCGGTCACGGTGCAATCGAATTGGGACCTCATCGATCAGTTTGAGCTCCAGCAGCTGACAAAGCTACAGGCAAATATCCCTAAGAGTCAAGACATCAAGTGGTGTGGAGAACTGCGCGAGTATGACGCTACTCTGGATCGGATTACAAGTCGCACGAACACGCGTGTGCATCGCTATGACGATCGGGACTTTTACTACGTCACGACAACGGACGACCCGGTGATTGAGGAGCTCGCACAAGAGGGTGAAGCCACGGTGTTTGCTACTGATGCTATTCTAGCGCATCTTATGGCATCGACACGCTCTGTGTTCCCGTGGGACATTGTGGCCCAGCGCGTGAACAACATGCTGTTTTTCGACAAACGCGATAGCTCAACCTTTGATCTTCTTTCTGTCAACGAGAACGCGTCGGATCCGCCCAGTGAAGATGACCCTGACCACATGAACCACCCAGGTCGTCTGAGTCTTGAGGCTACTATGATTAACCAGAATCTGTCGCAACAAGTGCTCAAGACCGGCAACGGAGCATTCTATAAGAAGTGTGACAACGCCAACCCGTTTGCTAGCGATGATGCCAAGCCCGCTAGCTGCGCGTATCGTTACAGGAAGTTTGACTTGGGTGGCGGGTTGAATTTGGTGGCTCGTTGCGAAGTGCAGGCTGTGGCAATCAAGCGAGGAATGCAGCAGTACGTAAACACGTACGCACTGAACGAGTATGACCCAAAGTTTCCAGGATCGATTGAATGGCGCAAGAAAATTGACTCTCAGGTGCGTGGGGTGCTTGTGTTATCATACCGAGCTTTATGCGTATGCATGTTTGCGTGTGTGGATATTTGTGTATCTTTGTGGGCATGCTTGTATGCTGGACTTGGTGATGTTTCTATTCTATATACGCTATTCCTACACTCTTGATGAGGAGAAAGGATGTCTGAAAGTCTGCTGCTGCATCAAGGAGTGCCAACGTATGTTGTGTGTATGGGAGCTGCTCGCATATTTGATGACTGGCAACAGTTTCAGTATTGCAGCCTCATCTGTTACTGAGGACGAGCGAGTCAGCTCCCGCTTGTCTATTTTTGTGTTGCGGTGCGTGGGTCTCAATGAATGTCCACAACTTTATGTATACGCTATTCCTACACTCTTGGTGAGGAGAGTATTTTATTATGAGAGACACCAGCACCGCTTCCTTGCATTTTTGTACATCACAAGCATTCGCGTAGTAGACTTTGTACTGACTCATTCGTAATGCTTATTTACTATTTGCAGCGCGGTGCCATCTTGGCAAACGAGCTAAAGAACAACTCGTGCAAGCTGGCCAGGTGGACGGCTCAGGCGCTTCTGGGCGGTCTCGACGAGATGAAGTTGGGTTACGTTTCCCGCTCTAACTTTAAGGATCCGTACTCGCACGTCGTGCTGGGCATGCAGTCGTATAACCCAAGCACGTTTGCAACGCAGATCGCGCTCAACCAGAACAGCACGTGGGGTATTGTCAAGATGTTGTCGGAGCTGCTACTGGAGCAACCAGAAGGCAAGTACGTGATTATGAAGGACCCGAACAAGCCGATTATCCGACTCTTCTCGGTGCCCCTCGACACGTTTGAGGAAGAGGGCGAGGACGACGAGGAAGAAAATGACGAGTAAAGCGCTGGTCTCTTTGATCTGTACGTTGTGAAATCCATTGATAACGGAGAATTCGCGTCGTGCGCTTTTGCCTCGATAATGGAGATCAAGCAAGTCTCCCGGTTCTCAACAATGACCTTAAGGAGGCACCACTACATTGTGTGCCACAAATATAGATAGCATAACCCAACCTTACAGATAACAACGAACCGTCATTTACCCAGCAGTCGGCTGTTAATTTCGAAACACGGTTGCTTAGCAGCGACAAGGGTGGGAAAAGCGTAGGGGCACCATTCATCATCACGACATGAACTGTGCTTTAGCTTTGCAGAAGCGCCAACTTTTTAGAACTGCGACCGACCCCTGTGTTGTCTGGCTGGAAAGCCCCGAAGCCTTGTCAGACGTGTGCTATGTTGTGGGTTGCAAATACAGCCAGAGACTGACTGTATGGCCCGGACCAGTCAGGCGCATGTCGGCGTAGCGAGAGCGATGACGCGCGCACAGGTCAACGAGCTTGTACGCTGGACGTGCTGTATATCTGTGTATTTACGTGAACAATTCGTGTTGTTTGTCTGTCTGTTTGTACATGTGCAGTCCAGGTCGGAAGAAGTTATCGCTCGTCGCTTCGGTACAGTCAACAGCTTGAGTTAACGACCGCACGACAGGACTTTACAAGTCTTGCCCCCAGCTCAAGCTGCTGCTCAGTCGGGTGCAAAGGTGCGTGAATGACGTTGCTAAGAAAAAAAATGCTGGCCACAATTGACCACGAGCTGCTGGATACCCGCGACGATTGGGAGGACAAAAGGCACCGTCCGGAACCAACAAAAACCAGTCGACAACCTGTGTATCTAAAACATGAGTCAGACGTACGACCACCATCTCCTTCTCCTCTCTCTCTCTCGCTCTCAACCTCGCAGGCAATCATGAGGCAATCAATAGCGTTTCGCCTCACAAGAGTTCTGCTTTGTCGTCGACTTTTTCTGCGGGTTTTTGCCTGTCGCGGAACTTCCACCTGCTTCCTACATCCGTTGTAGTGCCGCGAAAGAAATGCTCCGAAACCACGTCGTGGCTGTCGCCAGCTGTCGAAAAAAAACCCATGCCATGATCCAGCCAGGCCCTTGAAACGACGGAACACCAGAAGGAGTGTGGGAACCAAACCGGCGTGCCAATCCTTGAGCTCAAGTCCTTTGGGCCACACGCGCGTGTCTGGGACATGCTGGAAAAACAGCAAAAACGACACCACCACCACCACCACGACCACTCCAAGTGCTACGACCACTTCCACCTTTCGTCCTTCACAACGCAAAACGCTCAGTCGAGGTAAACAACTGAGCAGTCAAGTCAAGTGACGTGAGAAGTCTTTCGAGTCAGTACGAGGAGTCGGAACGCTGTCAGAAGGAAAACAACGAACGACTCGACCACCCGTGACACCAACGGACGTTTTCAGGTTGGACAATCGCCATTTCGACTTGTGCATTGCAAGAATTAACGAGATATGGCCAGCGAGGTCTTGCAGGCGACACCTTATCGACTCAGTGCGGCGAAGAATGTCGCACCGCGACCGAGGAGCTCCGATTGTATTCGACTTGTGGGTCGTAAGCCGCAGGAACTTTGGTCGGGATTCCAGCACCGACTTGGATCGACGTCTTTCATTGGGGCAGCTCTAGGCAGTCAGAAGGGCGACCGGGTGACAGGAGACAGCGACAGTGACAGCGAAGAGGGAGATGTGATGCAGGAGAGTCTCGTGTCAAACGGACTTCGTGCCACTGAACGGGTTCGATGTCGGTCGGTAGTCGAGAGAGAGGACTGTGCGTCCGATCCTGAAGACTCGTCGTCACTGCTGAGTGCAGCGCAGAAGGCTGGATGTTTCAGCTACATCAAGCGGAGGTATAGCATCGCACTGGCCTTTGCCTCCACGGACTCGAGCGAAGACACGCAAGAGCCAAGCCACAACTTGATGCTGGAGCAAGGTGATGCCATTGCGTCCAATTGGGAACCTGTCAAGACAAAGAACGGCGTGCAGTTGTTCAAGTCAAAACGTTCGCGGTGCGAAGTGCTTGGTGTCACCCTAGTGAACGCGTCGGTGAAAAACGTCATGTCCATCTTGGCAGCAGGGTCAACAACAGAAGCCTTTTTAGATGCCCAGAAGATCATCCTGGGAACCGACCAAGTGATTGAAGCCAAGGTCTTGGCCTCGTGTGCAGAGCCGACGACCTCGCGCTATTTTCACTGCGGCCTCAAGTACCAAGCGATGAAGAACCCGTTTGGCACGACGCCGCTGGATCTCGTGTACTTGGACTACACGGACGTGAGTACCACATCTGATGGCAAGTTGATCGGGTACCGCATCATCGAGTCCATCCGCGTCCCCGAGTTACGAACGTCACCCAAGTACGTCCGAGCATCGATCCGATGTGAAGTGTACACTGTACAGGAGACGGATACGCCAGGGGTCGTGGAGGTGACGTTCGCCTCGCATCTGGACCCAAAGAGCAAGTGCTCGTCTCGACGGTCGCAATGGCTCGAGCAAGCTGGTGTCCGCCTTTCCAACCTACGAGCTCATGCTGAAAAGACGAGCATTGGCAACCACGTCCTGTCGGATCCCAAGCGGGTTGTAGTGAACCGCAAGCACCGCTCGTTCACGAGTGGAGACAAGGACAAGCAGCAACGGAACTGCAACGTGTGTCAACACGCCTTCTCCTTTCTTCGGAAACGCCACGACTGTCGCGTCTGTGGGGATGTGAGCTGTGGTCGCTGCTGTCGGAAGATGGCTGTGCTCGTGGGTCTCGAGTCCACGCGCGTCAAAGTTTGTCTTAGCTGCATCTTGCACTCGAGGAACAATCCGGACGAAATCCGACGCGGTGAACTCGGGCAACGCTCAAGTCGTCGCGACATTAGCAACACGACGTTTATTATCTACGACGAGTGAAGTTGTAGTCGCATGCTACTACTACTACTACTACTATTGCAGAGTGGGATGGTCTTGTCATGCCTCTTCTTTTTTTTACTTCCTGTTGCGTCAAGTGAGACTTGTCTGGTGCACGACATATGGCTACATGTATCCATTTCTAACGAACAATGAATGGCGTTTGGTAAACTACATCACGTACCTGGTCGTAATTAAAAACCAAACCGTGCTCTTCACAACTGTTTTGAGCAGATGGCTCCATCATCATCATCATCATCGTCAATAGTTACAGACAAGAATGATGCAGGTGGCGAAAACATCGTGTACGACATGAGTGCGTGCATGCTCGCACTGCTCTTTGGCGTCGTATTGGTCAAGATGCTACGCGATTATACGCGGCGACGAAGCTACATTGAGATCCAGCAGGACGACCGCGGCATGTACTCGAATGTACTCATGGGGACGTCAGATTCGTGGGATACCATGTGCATTGATGAAGAGGTCACGACACTGGATCACGCTGTACATTAGCTACCAAGAGTCAGAGGAGGACACGCATGTATCGTAATGGAACAAACCTATGCAGTACCGTTCTTGTCGCTCTTGTTGAGTTAGCACGTCACTTTTCCAGCAACGCAAGCACTTCATCCGCTATTTACAACAGGTATCCAAGTCAGTCAAGAGAAAGACATCCACCCAAGCACATACTTTGTGACGAGGTGCTGAAGGGATCGAAAACTTACGAGTGCGGCTGATAGCATTGGCGACGTACGTCCACTCAGACGTCGGGTTACGGACAAAGTCAAAGCACGGATCGGAAGATGGTGCTACTGCCGCAGATATCGGAGCTGCAGATGGCGCACTGCTTGGTGCAGCTGCGTGGCGACCGTTCGGGTGCTCAACTCGATCTATTGCTCCAGATCTAACCTTCTGCTGCAGGCCACGATTGAGTGGTGTCCGAAACTTGGAATCGGAAGAGCTTGTCGGAAGTCGCGGTGCTTTGTTCTCGAAAGCGTGTCGACCCGTTTGGTTGGAGGCCGCTGAGGCGACGGGTGCCTCATTGACAATTTCAACTAGGAACCTGTGGCAATGGCAGGTTTTGTCATCTCCATGTCGGTAGCATCAATTGATTGGATCCGTCAAACAAGGCAACGAATAACTCACTTGGACGTCTCGATGTACTCCTCGTCCTTGCAATCCCACTCCACGGCAGTCAACTTGGTGTCATCGATGGCTTTTCCAGCCGCCCCCTCGTCGTCGGCATATACGACAAGTTTGCGCGAGGCGTGCAGTCTCACGAACCCATCCTGCCATATCTTACGCTTCTGTGTCTTGTGCTTGGTGTACATGCACTCAAACATCACCTCGGATCGAGAGCCCAGCAAGTCGCATAACTTGGTCATGCTCACAGCTTAGTAATTGGAAATAGATGCTTTCTACCTATCAGTCTCCCAGAAATTCACCGTCTTCCTATTCCATTCATTTCGTCAATCAAATGACCCTTCTAAATGACATAGGATACTACTTGCCCATTCGATTGTAATCTTGTCTTCGAGTTCTGCTTGGACTAGTTTGGCAATCTCACGTCGCTGCATCACAACTCTTTGACATTTTCACGTATCGGGTGTGATGGGCGCAGTGGCGTATAGCCATCAGAGTTTCGTTAAGGTATGACAAGACGTTAGTTTTCGGGGCCAGATGTTACCCTTCGCTCAGTCTGAAGCGGCTCGGCCTGTTCAAGAGTCACGGCAAAGAGGTAAATCCACACGTCGAGTTCAGTAGCTGTCCACTTTACTTCGTGGACTCGCCAAAGCAAGAAGGATTGAAACTGAATAGTACACGCATCCGTATCGACTCTTTGCAGACTGTCTTAGCCTTGACTTCAATTTGGTGAGGTATTTCTTTTGCGTGCTCACGTTCACGAGCTCACTCGGTCCGTCTAAACTATCATTTGATACTGAAGCGATGTCAGGAATTTCTTCTACGATGCCAATAAAGCACATCCTGCACCGTGGCTAACTTACGTTTGTAAAGGAATGAACGACGCTGTCGGCATGTAAGTGTTGCTGATAGTTTGTCAAAGTTATAGAAGCTTTGAGCGACTTTTCCAGCATGGGGCTGCTGCATTCTCTCCCAATGTACTCGACATGTGGGTGAATGACAGTACAAAGTACGCGTGTACTAAGAGTACAGGGATATCGCATGACGTAGTGTGACTAAATTCCTCTTACTACGTCATGAAACCTAGACTAGTGAATAGTTCGACAAACTCTGCTCACTTATGCACGGCCTGCTCCAAACGGATGATGCTCGTACAACTTGATTCCCGATCGAGTACAGGGAGAGCCTAAAGATTACACAGGACAACTTCGTTGCGAAGCTACATGTTCTGCAAAAGCGTGAGTATTCATTCCGAGGTAAACGATCCAGCTACTGGACGACGTTGAGTTGTGGAAACTGAATTACAATAAGCAGTGCTGCTCGTGAAGTCAGAGAGTATTTGATGCCGACTGATCATCTATCTGCCTAACCATAAAATGATATGGTCCATGCAGAAGGACCTAACGAGAGCTGTACATAACCTGCTTCCTAAAAAGTGATACTAAAACAGCAGGCAGAATAGTGAAAGAAAACTGCACGCAGAAGTTCCATCGAGTTTACACGTGCAACCGGTCGTCCACGAAGACTATGCGATTGTTTCAACCATATCGTCGGTGCTCAGTTAGTTCCAAATGCAACCTCCAAAGTGTGGGGTTTCCCGGAAGCTGTAACTGCTCTGTGGACGTTCCGAACGAATTTGGACTTTCGTGCACATTCTGCCTGTCCACATTACGTCGCAAACATTTATCCGAACGCCGGTAATGCTGGTAATGCTATTGATGGTGTTGTCAGCCGAAATCCAGGACGTTGCAGCAACCATGACATCAAGCAATTGTCAATCATCAATGGAAGCAAAACGACTGGGGCAGATGGCACATTTTTACTACGTCGTGGCTATCGAAGCCGTTTCAGAGCACCAATCAACCAAGTGACTTCCTCGTTGAACCTTGCCTAACGTGCATGGTATCTTTGTCCTATAGAAACAAGTTTACGTTACATATACCATCCCAGAGTTGCACGATTAACATTACCAAGGTGAGCGGAAAAGTCGCAAGAATCAAATGAAGCCTCACAATCGATCACGAAAGAGTTATGGGTGTGAACTAGCTACGATGCAGTGATTTGCAAAGTTCCTACTACAAAGATCTTGGGAACACGATGCGCACACCACCACCGCCACCTCCGGACTCCTCCCCCCACATTGAGAGTCACTCCCGAGTACCAGTATTCCACTCACTTCCCACGTCAACCTCATGGCACACAACAACCTTCCACCACTTTGCTTCCTGAAGACAGAAAAAAAGAGGCCCCTCATTCTCGTCTACTTGGTAACGAGCACCTTCTTGAGTGACTCGGCCCAGACGGGACCCGTGCGAGAGCGCACCACGAACCGGTCTCGGTACATGACCTCGCACTTGTTGTTTGTCTTAATGTCCTTGCACACCGTCTCCCACACTTTGTTCTTCTTCATCTGAATCGCAGTCACGGGCTCCTGCATCTCCTCCCCGCTCGCGTACACGCGCTCACCCACTTCAGCCTCTGGACTAGGACAGAGCAGCTCCACCTTGCCCTTGTCATCAGTCACTTGCAGAATCCGGCCCGTCGAGCGCAAGCGCATGACCTTGACCATCTTGACATTGCACAACACGACGACCTTCCGGTCCAGCAGCTCCTCTTCCGCAAAGTACGGCTGATGCTCGGCAAATCTCGAGCTCCTCGCCCTTGCCGATGGCCACCTTCTCGACATAGTGACGCTCCGAATTCGGATGGGCCTTCACGTCAGTGATCTTGCCTACCCGCAGGTCGAGCTGCGAGAAGACTATTGGCGAGCTATACACGTCAGACTTGACCATGAGGTCGCAAGGAGGGCAAAGAGAAGTTTGTTTGTTTGAAGATGACAACTTGGGAAATGGCTCGTACGTTTGGATGGCGAAGGGAGCAAAGTGTCAACTTCAAGCACGTTGAAGTGATAATTTGCTGAGAAGCTCGTGACTTCAAGCACGTTGTGGGTGGTGGGATCGACAAGTGCATAGCTGGCTGAGTTTATGGAAAAAGTGTCTTTGGCGCAACGTGATTGGGTCGTGCTGCTTAAACTGTTTACTAAGCGAAGCGATTGAGGCTTTGCAAACATTGTCACGTGTGACTCGAACTTCAAAGTGCACCTATAAACTCGGCAAAGGTCCACTAGGTCGGATCTATGCTCGCTGTTTATGCATGTTTTAAAACAGCATCGGAGTTGGACCCAACATTGGATGGGGCACATCGACGTTGAAGTGGGATGCCACTCACACTAGGAAACGGATTCCATCTCTTTACATTACAACGTCAAGTACTTTCTTACGTGAGAGGGGGATCCGTCGATGTGATGAATGGAGTAACAGCGGTGCGTCACTGGTGTGAGCATAGCGGGGATGGAAGCAGGAGACATCTGTATCATGACTCTTTGTAGTAGCAGGTATTGGTTTGAATCCGGTTGCTGTATTAACGAGATCCTCTACCAGTACCAGCCGCGTGGACTTGTGCACATCCATGTTTCCCGGTTCGCGAATGTCGTACCCAACATGCACTAGTAGTAGCCAGTACATGAGTCGTGCTGCAGCTCCATCGCAACTACGAGTCACCAGCAAACGTGCCATCGTCCCCTCCATCTCCACCAAAGTCGTCACCACCACCAGTGTCTCCACTAAACGTGTACGTGTTACCGCCCACGCCTCCGACATCGCCACTGTAGCCAGCGTTGTCATACCCGTCTCCCGTATCACCTGCGTAGCCAGTATTGTTGTTATGACCGCCAAACGCCGAGCCCAACGCTGCGCCAACGCCCAGTCCTCCTAAGGCTCCTAGTGCACCTGCAGCCATCGTATGACCACCATTCCCGCCACCACTTTCACGATACGGGGATGCTCCGTATGCCACAGGAGCCGACGCATACGCGTACGGAGCTTGTGGCGGCTGCTGCTGCTGGTCTGCGTACGTACCGTACTGACTCGATGCAACGGGCTGGGCGTATGCATATTGTTCCTCTCGTTCTTGCTGCGCCCGACGTGCCGGTAGGTAGCAGCAGCACACACAGCACAGCAAAACCATAGCAATAAACAGGATCGTGCTGAACACTCCTCCTGACGAGGACGACCTCGAGTGGTAGCCGTCGTACCCGCCATAATGATAGGGTGCTGCACGGCGACAGCGACACTCGTATGGGGTCGCGGCACACTGAGCGTCTACTGGACAGCAACAGGGTGCGCCGGAAGCAAGACCAATGCAGAATTGACCTGGTTGTCCGTGGTAAGCGTGGCCGCATTGGCCGGTTTGCTGACACAGTCCACACCCTGAGAAGGCAGCAGAGAGCGTGGCATTGTTGACGAATTCTCCAAAGGTCTTAGGAGACGGCTCGTCGACTGCCGATCGAAGCTGTGCGTCTTCGACATCGTTGGGGTTATCAGTGAAAGACGCAGGGGAGCGATTGTCGGCGTGGATGCTCGACGCCGAGAGGAGCAGGAGGAGAATCGGGAGCCACGACATGAGGCTTAAGATCACCAATCCGTGTGTGGGTGATGGAGCTGTGATTCGCTTTAGTGACAGGGTGCCGTTGGATAGGTGGGTTTTTTTCTTCTCACAGCCGGTCGGAACCAACCGATGGAGAAAAAGCATGAGGTTGGGTTTTTTATTTTTTTTTATGATTACCAAGCGATAAATAAATACGACAAAAAGATGAGTCGCCTCTTTGTGGGCCTCGAGACGACGTTTGTCCATGACCTGCCGGCGACGCTTGATAAGGTCCGACGTGGAGTTCACGAGCGCGTGCTTTTCATGAGGTTTCATAGTGTACTAATCTTTCCCTTGCCACGGTTGAACAGGTCCATGAAGACAAGATGAATGGCGTCGCAGCGCCGCTTTTCCACCCTCGGTATGGGTACATTTGATGAAGCTTCTCTTTTTACGCATGATATTTTATAAATAACGAATATTGGTGCTAAAACTTAGGTTGAAACGCGACGACCAGGGACTCTCGGAGACCCGTGAGGGTCCGCAAACTCGCTCGGATTTCGTGCTGGACTCTCGAGGCTGGACAGCTTCTGTAGTGGGTATTCTCTCCAAGTGGATGGACCTAGACGCGACGACCCAAAGCGTGCGGCTGAATGCTGAAAAAGCTTTTAAGCAGGAAGTGGCTTGGGCCTCGCATTTGTCGGTGTCCGCTGTGCTGCTGCCGACGCCGCGTCATGCCTGCAATTCGTCCAACTACGCGCGAGTGCTGAACCAGTCGCTCACACAGGCGCAGTATCTCCAGTTTTGGGTACGTATCCCACTAGTTGCGAGGCAGCAGTCACGTGCTAAAGCACCAGTGGAATTTGACCCTGTGGCGGGGCTTTTTGCTCCTGCGATCGCGGAATTCGAGGAAGATGAGCACGAGGTACTGATTGATCCTTGGGAAACATGGGACTCGTTGCGTGCTCGCTGCGAGTACCATCCGAAGCTGTTTGTGGCGCTGGAAATTACAGCCGACCTGCCAAGTGCCGAGGTGGTTCAGCGCTGGATCGGTGAACCTGTCAAGGTGCGTGATAACGCTCGACACGTGCTGTGCGATATGTTATGGTTTACCTGATTTTATTGTTGTGAGTAAAGGCAGCGATCATTTCTACCAACATCTTCCTGACAAATCGCAAGGGATACCCGGCGCTGTCCCAGCGACACCAAAAGCTCGTAGCGCAGCTTTTCCAGCACAAAGTCCAGTTCTACTTGGCCGGACGGCCTCGACACCGAGGGAAAATGCTGCCGTATGTGCAGTATCTACATTTTCTGTACAGCAAACTTCCGAGTCAGGACCGCAAGACGCAGTTTGAAGCGCCTTATCTGGACTATCTCCAGGCCCCGCTGCAGCCTCTCATGGACAATCTTGAATCGCAGACATATGAGACTTTTGAGCAGGACGCGTTCAAGTACAACCAATATGAGAAGGCTATCACGAAGGCACTAGAGCAGACGCCCGAGGACAAAGAGTCAGTTTTAATTGTTGTGGGCGCAGGTCGCGGGCCCCTCATACGCTGTGCTCTTCGTGCCGCCAGTGTCTCAAATCGCAAGACACGAATGTTCGCTGTGGAGAAAAATGCGAATGCAGTCATTACTTTACGCAATCTCAAGATTTCGGAGAAATGGGATAACGTCACGATTGTAGCATCCGACATGCGTAGCTGGCGCACAAAGGAGCGCGCGGATATCATGGTCAGTGAGCTCCTTGGATCCTTCGGTGACAACGAGCTGTCGCCTGAGTGCCTAGACGGTGCCCAGGACTTTTTGCACGGTAAGTGTGTTTTCTTCATGTTATTTCACAAAGGTACAAGACTCACTTGTTCTGCCGGTATGTTGAAGAGAATGGTATCAGCATCCCGTGTGAATACACGTCATACGTGGCGCCCGTGATGTCTTCGAAACTTTGGAACGAGGTGAAGGTTCACGACTCGCTCAAGAGCTTCGAGACGCCTTACGTTGTACGGCTACACAACTTTTACGCACTGGCACCTACCCAGAGGTGTTTTCGGTTCACTCATCCGAAGTTCAGCGCCCGGATTGACAACAGGAGACAAGCTGAGCTTCGCTTTGTCGCGGCTGAGAGCGCTGTTGTCCATGGCCTCGCGGGTTACTTTGATGCTGTGCTTTACGACGATGTGACGCTGAGTATTGAGCCAGATACGCATTCAGACGGCATGTTCAGCTGGTTTCCGATTTACTTTCCCTTACGCCAGCCACTGCGTTTTCAGAAGGGTGAAGAGGTCGTGGTAGACTTTTGGAGACTGAAGTCCAACAGCTGTGTCTGGTACGAGTGGTCAGTGGCCCATGGTTGCGGTAAGGGTCACAGTTCTATCCACAATCCAAACGGTCGATCCTATTGGATTGGACTGTAGGAGTGGGTAATGCAGGAAGAGGCGATCCGCATCAGTACCTGTGCTGTGTCCAGTCTGTCAAAACCAGTTGTCATAGTACAGCACTAGGCTACCACAGCACTTGCAGAAATTCGGTGAATTGAAATTGTACTGGATGATGTATAAAAGCTGCTGTCGATGGGTCCGCGCTAGAAACCTCGACGCTTTTGTCTTTTGCTCCTTGAAAGTCCTGTCTGATTTCTATCGCATCATCGTTAAAGTCGACAATTTCATCTAGTGTTCCACCTTCTCACCAAGGTATGTGACGATCAATTTGTTGAGTCCCATCTCCATCTCAGGGTCACCTCTAAGGCTGTGTTTTGCATGATAAGCGCACAACGTCTTCTTTCTGCAACGTTTTGTAGCCGCTTTGATGATGTTACTCACGGATAGTGTCATTCAAGTATCGTCCAAGTATCAGCAGCACTAACATCACAGCATCGCGTGAACTGGCAGCTCCAACCATAGGCGTCACTTTGTGACGGAACTGAAAATGTTGTGTAACAACCAGAGCGCACAGAATCACGGGTCTTGCTGGTTGATATACCGCAGTCCATTCCCTGTTGCACCCAAATTTCAGCTGGAATATTTTAATTGGCTGGGTGCATTACGAATCGAACGAGGACACAAAAATTTCTCCCGGAATATAACGATAATAGCAATGGAGCTGTAAAGCAGACGACAAGTAACAGAATAGCCAGGGTTCACACGGACAGATTTTACCACATTTGGATATAGAACTACCACGTGAGTCCTTTGGAGTCAGATTTAATATACAATGCAAATCGTATATGGCGCTTACTGTAACGGGGTGAATCGTTACATAACAATTTATAAGAAATTGTTAATAGAATATAACTATAAGAGTTATATTCTCAGAATATTGTCATAAGGACAAATATTCTGTAGCACTTACGAGTAGTTCCTAATTGGTTGATATAGGCCATTACATCAACCAACGAAGACGTGCTCGACAGATGCACGCAATGAGTGGTGAGCAGATAGTTGATTTACACATTTGTATTCAGACATAGTTAGATGAAGATAAATAGTGATTTATTGCAGACATTAACTATTATAAATACAGTTCTACTTTTTACTTTAACCAAGTACTCGCTTCTTCTTACCGTCTTCCTCTGCACGTACGAGTGTACGTGAAGTTACGAGGCACCGCCTTATTCTATCATCAGAATAAGTAGCTTGTACTGTCATCAGTACAAGCTTCAGGGTGCCCCGTTACAGCTGGTAGCACTTCGTAGTCCGTCCAAGGACCACGTTCACATCTAACATGAATATGTTGGATGATGAAGATGACCAAAGCTTTCACGCTTGACGGCTACTCCCATTTGAGCGATGTCGAATGGGATGCGGTTGAACGGATGGGTTCAACCATACGCATCCATGCTGTTAGCGTCATGCTAGAGGCTCTCAATAGAGATGCCCAACATTGCTACTATCGCCAAGTTCATTCAAAATGAACTTGACGCCGAACGCGAGAAAGTATCCTTGCTTCAGCAACAAGGTTCTCAACAAGCAGAGTTGTTGAGAGAACAGGGTGCTCAACAGTTTGAACTGTTGAGACAGCAGCAGGCTGCTGCTGGCGGGTCGATGCACTCGCGTCGACCCGAAACCTTGAAGATTGACATCTCCAAGTATAGGGGAGTCGAAGAGGACTCCCTCTTGAGATGGTTCGTCGAATTGGATGACGCCATAAGGGCGCGTCGCATCGACGAAGGGGATATGCAAGTTGCATTTGCCCAGTCAAATCTGGCAGGACGTGCCAAGACTTGGGCACTGGGGCTCAAGTTGCATGACCCATATGCGTTTGGGTCGTTGGAAGTCTTCAAGTCGCGGCTCAGAAAAACGTTTGAACCGCCTAGAGCTGAGTTCAGAGCTCGAACCGAACTTTTGAAGCTCAAACAAGGTAAGCGTGATGTGCACGCTTACGCACAACATATACGACATCTCACGAGTTGTATAAGTTCCAATCCGGTTGATGAACACACGTTGGTTTCGGTGTTCATGCAGGGTCTTGCGGATGGTCCCGTCAAGACTCACCTGTTCCGGCTTGAACTAGATTCACTAGAACAAGCCATTTCCATTGCGGAACAGGAAGACTTCAGTCTGAGACAGGCTCGCGCCAGCTCGACATCATATCGTCAACCGAGACGATATGAAAGCGGAGGTCCAGAGCCGATGGAAATCTGTTATGCAGAGAGCGAGAAGGCTTGCTCTACAGACTACAAGAAGTTGCAAAAAAGCAACAGATAACAGAAGACAGGACACTACGCTTACGAGTGTAGTGCTCCTCGTCCAGTGTCTTGCAACACTGGGCGTAGTGACCGTCCACCCATGAGAAAGGTGCAGGGACGCGGATCCGCTGTTGGTGCAAAGACGCAACAACGGGATGGACCGTCAAAAAACGGACAGGATCAGTAGGTGCGGAGCACCCTACTGGTCCAGCAACGTCAAGAGAACTTGCAGGCCTCTTGATGAAGGTTGCTCCCAACACACAAACAATGTGCGTTGTTGCTCTAGGTAATGAGGTCTCACTCATTACCTTGAAACTCGAAGTGACGAATAAGTTGTCCCTTCGAGCTCTAGTCGATTGTGGGGCGTCCATCAATTTTATGCAACGCCAATCGTTAGAAGATGGTCATTTTAAGTTCAGTGAATGTGACACACCTCCTACGAGGATGACGGTGCATCTTGCGACAGGCGCATCCGTAACCGTCATGAAGCGTATAGTGAAAATTCACTATATGCCAGAAGATACCCAATATGACGATGACTTTATCGTATTGGATTTGGATGACAAAATCGATGTCATCCTTGGAATACCGTGACTCAGAAGATACGAACCACGAGTAAACTGGCAACATCGAACAGTAACGATGCCTGCCGCATGTTCATCAGATGGCCATCTGATGAACGTTTTGGAGCATCCACAAGCGTGTGGATGTACTACGAGTGAGTGCGATGGCCTCACTTGTGGTAGGGTCGTTAGTACGACTGCACGAAACCTTAGTGTAACAAACAGTTACACTTCGGAGCAAGCTTCCGGCGGCGGTGAGGAAACACAGGCTGCGCCGAAGGTCCACCACTCGAATAAGTCGAGTGGACCGGGACAAAGATGCATCCCTAGCGGGGAATATCTAGAAGAGAAACAATCGATCGCTCAGGTTAAGCGAAACGATAATTCTAGGTCGACTGGAGAGTCTTTCGTAGAGGATCTCGCTGTGGTTGCGCAACCCCAGCTAGAGGAAGTTAAGGGAATAAGTCCCGATATTACAAATACGGCGGAAATAAGTTCCCCGAAACCCGCGGGAATAAGTCCCCGGAAAGCCGAAGGAAAAAGTCCTTCGAAGCCTGAGGGAATAAGTCCCCAGGAAATGACAGAGACATTGAATGTCCTAGTCAATAACGGATCAAGTGTAGGCGCTTATACACTTGATCTGATTGCGCCTCCGAAGTTGACTTCGGAGATCACTCAGTTGCCAACGCTCGAACATAAAGGTTCTTGCGTGATCTGCGTAGTGGCAAAGTCAAGCAGATCTGCATACTCGTCGCTGACGACGAGTGCGTAACCGACATAAGGACAGCAACAGTGTTTACTGAGAACGAGAGAGTTCTCAGTAGTTCATCGATGGACGAGAGTGTCCTCGATGAAAAGACACGAGTTGAGCGATATGACTCCCAATCATGGGAATCGCTCAAGACAAATCCTCTCTATGATGATTTTGTTGAATTCAAGGATGTATTCCCTGAAACTGTTCCGTGCGAATTACCGAAGGATAAAGGTACTCGACACGAGGTCGAGCTTAAACCAGGCTTAAGTACTGTGTCATGAAGCAGTGGCCACTGCCTCGTGAACAAGTACTTGCGATAGACAAGTTCTTTGCTGATCGTTTAGCTGCAGGCCTTGTGAGGGAATCAACTTTGTCACATAGCTCTCCGACCTTCTGTGTGCGAAAAGCAACAGGAGGGTGACATATAGTGCATGCATTCAACGAGTTGACTGCTGCAACGGTACCGGATCAGACGCCGATACCAAGGAAGGACGTAATCATTGATGGTATGTCAAAGAGTACCATCGTTTCGTCCATGGATTTGATGGATGGCTTCAATCAAATCCTTATGCGATAACGGGATATACCCTATACCGCAGTGAGCACACCTAGCGGCATGCTCTGGGAATGGCTAGTAGTGCCACAAGGGCTTAGTAACGCCCCTGCCACGTTCAACAGATGTGTATCACATCTGTTGAGACCAGTACGAGAATTCGCACCGAGTTATTTCGATGACGTATTCATCCATAGTCGGGATATGAATGGAAAGTCGGACGTTGAGGTTCACAGGTACCACATCCGACAGGTTCTTACAATCATGCGAAAGCATCAATTGTATGCCAATCTCAAAAAGTGTATATTTGCAGCAAGCGAGATACCACTTCTTGGGTGCATCGTTGGTAAGAACGGTGTACGTCCTGATCACGAAAAGATCAAGGCGATCACCGACTGGCCTGTGCCGGTTGATGTCAAAGGTCTTCGAAAATTCCTTGGGCTAGCGGCGTATTTGCATAAGTATTCACGTAATTACGCCGAGATGACTGTACACCTCTCTCGTTTGTTGAAAAAGAACGAGAGGTGGTTATGGAACGCTGAATGTCAGCGCTCCTTTGATGGTATCAAGCAGAGCTTGATACAATCCCCAGTCCTAGCAAGAGCCGATCAGGACAGGCAATTTCATGTGGTCTGTGATGCCAGCGATTTCGCAATCGGCTGTGCATTAATGCAGTACGATCTTGAAGGCGTTGAACGCGTCGTCTGCTATCAGTCGCGTCAGCTGCAACCAGCTGAGCGGAACTATCCAGTGCATGACAAGGAACTCCTTGCCATGAAATATGCACTCGCGAAGTTCAGAGTCTACCTATTTGAAGATAGACCCTTCACTGTTTACACTGACCACGCGTCATTACGCAC